TCATTCTGGGGGGTGAATGAAGGACCATTTTAATGGAATGGTTATGTTAATCACTTTTTTTTTTTAAGTCTGAATTCCTGACATAAATATTAGGAATCTTTCTTAAAAAACAATGAATATGTTGTCATATCTTCTGACATTGGAAGAACTTTTTATTGTCCCCAAAGTGGGGTCCATTTTTCAAAAGTTTTCATTCTTCATTTATTTCAAAAAATAGTTCATATATTTGGCAAACTGCAGCTATTTCTAGATAGTCTCCCACCACCACCCCAAAAGGTAGAGTAAAAACTAATTTATAGCCACATTTATTGCTACTGTCTATAAATTTTCCGATTTCTCCAGTAAGCCTCCTTGGCTTCTTTTCTTATTCACTCTTATGCTTAAGAAATTAGGTATAGAATTCTCCTAAACCATGACACAATCTATTCCTCGATCCTAACCTTTGGTTTAGTTTCTTTGTGCTTCTGAACCCTCAGGAATGCATTTCACTTTACATCATTCACATATGCCAGTATTTAGCTCATAATTCAACATAGTTTTAAGTTAATATATGATGTTTTCTTGTAACATTTCCTTTTCTCAGGTCTTTTTGCCCTTTAGTTGATAGAATTCACTTCTAACCCAAATCTTACTGTCTTCTCATACAGAATTCGCTTTCCTGGAAATTAGTAGTTTCAGTATGACCATCAACATATCAAACTCTGAATTACATGAGAATTTCTGTGCAGGGCTGAAAAACACCATGAGTTAAAAAGAAGTTTAACACAGTGCCTGTTCCAAGGTACTTGACTGAAGGCATACATCTGTTCAACAATCAGAAAATGAGATCGTATTATATAAAGCAAAATCTATGCCATCCAGAACCTTTCTAGGACTAGACATTTCAGGTAACTACGCTTTCTAAATAATCTATTGCTTGTCTTTTTAAGTAAATTATATTTGAAACATTTTGGATAAAAAACTAAAACATGTTTTTCTTACTTTCATTAACATGCTACACTGAACATAATTTAATCTGTATCTGATAGCTAAGAGTCATACTAAACAGAAATTAGACCACTAAGTTATAGTACAATGATGCCTAGGGCCTAAGGAAGTGTGTAGGGCTATGCACATCTATGTTAATAGTCTCAAATTACTAAAAAGTGGGAAAAATTATGATAGATTTTAATTGCTTTTTCTGTCTCTTATTTTGTCAGTCTGTCACACAGACATTATTCTGCTATAAATGCTGTAAGGAAACAGACCATGCATCAGGAGAGGGACTAATTCTGATAAAGCACCTACTATGTGCTGGATCTGAGATAAACTTTACAGTGCATCTAGCAATTGGCCTGGCACAAATCAGATGACAGGTAAACACTAGATAAATGAACAGCACTAATGTGCCGACCTAAGTGGGCCCTCTCCCCTATTTATTGTCTCTAATCTGCCATAGCCCAGAAAACACATACCCAAGTATGAAAGAACACCATTTATAATATATCTGGCATGGTACTTTGTACACAGCAGGGGCAGTATGGCAAAACTGTATGGGCTGAACTGAATTGAGGATGGCTAACAGGGAGCATTTACAATGTGCTAGAAAATGTGGAAGTATTTTACACACAGTATCTAAGATGATACCTATAAGGCAAACAATACTGTCCCCATTTTACAGATGCAGAAATTGAGGCTCCAAGTGGCTGAGTAATTTGTATAAAATCAAGCAGCTAGTCCATGCTGGGAGCACACTGTGAATTCAGGCAGTCTGACTGCAGAACATTATACTCTACTGCCTCTGAATAAATGCGCAGTAAATAAGTCTATAACAACTCTTTTTTCCTAAAAGTTTTTGCTAACTTTCTGATTCTCAGGTATGTTCTCAACTGGTGAGTGTTACTATAGGTAAACATTATACTGACAGGCCAAAGCAATAAACTAGGAAAACTAGGCAAGTAAAGTATGAGCCGATGAGCTACTGTATGCTCCAGATGATGGGTTCCAAAGAAGTAGAAGGCTGAGAGATCTGTGTGTATTAGGGTCAGTAGGGAGGGCTTTAAGAAGTTAAGACCTAAGCCCAAGAAGTGTAAGAATAAAGAGATGGGGTGAGAAAGGGAGCATTTTTTTTTTAAGATTTTATTTATTTGACAGAAAGAGACACAGCGAGAGAGGGAACACAAGCAGGGGGAGAGGGAGAAGCAGGCTTCCCACGGAGGAGGGAGCCCAATGTGGGGCTTGATCCCAGGACCCTGAGATCATGACCTGAGCTGAAGGCAGACGTTTAACGACTAAGCCACCCAGGCGCCCTGAGAGGGAGCATTCTGTAGCTTAAGAATAAACACAAAACCTTTGTGGAACTAGGGGAGGGGGGTCGTAAATAGATGAACAGACAAACACACATGTAGTTTAGAACATTTATATCCACTGCAACCGTAAGCTCCCATTCTAGCCAGCTTTACTTGGTCACTCAAACAGCTGGACAAACATAGGTTACAGTTGGCAGTACTAGTGAGGGTAGGATATGGCAGCTAATGCAAAGGCCAGATCTGAAGCTAGGATTCCACAGCTCTTGTTAAGGGTCCTTGGAGGTGAGGAGTGTGGGCATAGGGAGCCTACCCTCTACTATTTCCAAACCTAAAATGGGAGGACATGCTGACCTACGGACTATTTAAATACAGAGTGTCATTTGCTCAGAAATCTTTCACAAGGCTGAACCAGAATCACCTCTAATTAATGACACACCTAGGGTAACTAGTGCCTGAAGATCCTCCCTGCCCCTAGGAATCCCAGCGATGAGAGGCTAGGGAAGTTCTTGGGCCACCTACCATCTCCATTAAGAGACACAAGAGCACGTCAGGAGTCAGCTCTCTTATGCAAGGAAACGGAGACACCATGCACACTTTATGACAGAGACTGGACATTTTAGTATGAGACCCAAAGTAAAAACTGTGGTCAACAAACATTTCCTAGTCTTGCTTAACTACATGGCAGCTAAATCCTCAGCAAAATTTCAACAGTCTCTGAGTGTGAGCAGTAAGAGTAATTTGACCTGTACTTGAAGGTGGGAGATATTTGAAAGTTTCTCAGGTCAGCAACCGGCAACCCTCCAGATGCTACAATTATTCAACCAAATAGAGACAGGCACCTCCAAACTTGTATAGTCTTTCTCTCATCTCTCAGACATCAGAGTGCAGAAATACCAAAGTAATCCAGGGAAGATTCGAAACCCAATGTATGCATTCAAAGTACATCTTTTGAGGGGCACCTGGGTGCCTCAGTTGGTTAAGCATCTGCCTTCGGCTCAGGTCATGATCCCAGGGCTCTCTGCTCAGTGCAGAGCCTGCTTCTCCCTTTGCCTCTGCCTCTGCTCCTCCCCCCACTTGTGCTCTGTCTCTCTCCAATAAATAAATAAAATCTTAAAAAAAAAAAAAGTACATCTATGGAACACCCATAAGTTGTCAGGCACTGATCCAGGGACTGGGGCTATAAACATAAGAAAGACTAAGTCAATCTAAAAGATGGAAGTGTACCCATTCATTATTATTACCCTTTATCACGCCCAACCACTCAAGGCTCCAGGCAGGAAGTTCTTCCAGTGCCCCACTAGCACCAGGTTAAGTTTCCTTTCCTGCTTCTGTGCCTCTGATCAGGGCTTGCCCAGAATGCCTCACTGTACTTCACCTACCTAAATCCTCACATCCTTCAAAGCGAGCTGAAGTCCCCCTCCTGGAAGCTCTGGCCTCTATCTCATTCCCAAAGTTATGTCTCATTTCTCCAAACTACTAACAATTACGGCCAGTACCACCATCAGCCTATTTAGAAATCTGTCATCCTCTAATTGATACTTTTATTCTTTCAATGAATCCTGAGTACCAACTGTGTGACAGCATTGTTCCAGGGGCTGGAGAAAGGGCAGCAAATAGCACTGGTTTTAACCTCCCCAAAAGAACTCCTGGGGAGAGTTCTTCTCTTATACCGCTTTTTAAAAAATCTTCCTGTGTAGACGTGGGCTTGTACCCAGTGCTTAATACCTAACAATTTATTAGATCCTTGGGCTGCTTTGGTCCAAGCTCACTCGAATTGAAGTAATTGAATAAATTAATGGGGAAACAAAAGCCAACGAAGCCATTTCTAAATGAACTTCCACTTCTTAAAAACCTCAAAAGAACAAGGAAGGAAAAGAAAACAGGCAATGAAAGTGCTGCTGAACCAACACATTTTACTCACACTGACAAAGCACGTCCAATTCCCCCCTCCAAGCCACGCAAAAGTGACCTTTCTCTCTCAATCCGTATAGCTCCAGATTCAAGTGTTTATTTTAACAACAGATCTCAGAAAAGTTTAAAGCACCCCTCAGTTTCCTAAACCAGTCTTTCTAAAGCTTTGTTTCTTGACGAATAAACCCCTTGATGAACCCTGCATATGCAGGATTAGCAGACTAATCCAACGAGGTTCACTACAACGAACTAGAATTTGAGCTTCAAGCACAAGAGGGACTAAAAGAACACTCTGAATGTGATAAATCCAGACACAATTTTAATATAAACAACAAAAGCCAGGTCCTGCGGTGCGTGGTGGAAGGTTCCAAGTTCCCAAAAGAAGGGAATCAAGAGAATTTCCTCCAGGGGAGCGGCGAGATTCTGCAAGCGTGGGAGTTTCTGCAGGAGGTGAGGGAGATTTAAAATAAATATTCTTTTGCTCTAAAGTGGCTTGTGAGATACGACAGCTGGCACCCTACAGCGGGCGAGGGTGAAGCCGGGCTGTGCCATGCGGCGGCGGCTGCCACCAGGGCACTCCCACCATTCTCCGCAGCCGGGTCAGGATGCGAGACGGGAGCCCGGCTCTGCGCGGACCCGCACCCGCGCTCCTCGCCCCGTGGGCCGCCCGCCCTCGACCCGAGGCACCCAGCAAACCCACCCGCCCGGGGTCTCAGGAGCGCGGACCTCTCTGGAGACCCAGAAGACGGGCGGGGCAGAGGGGGTCTCCAGGCGGCTGTCCGGCCCCAGCGCGTTACTCACCTGAGCAGACTGGAAAGGGGATGGCTCGAGGACCCCAGGCCGCCGCCACCGCCGCCGCTGCTCCCGGAGGAGCCGCCGCCGCCGCCGCCCCCGAAGCCTGAGGAGAGCCGCTTCCCGGACAGCAGCTTCTCCACCGCCGGGAGGTGCCCGGTGCGGGCCGCCTCCAGCAGCTCCTGCTCCTTCCCCATCCCCAGGGCCGCCGCCCCCTGGAACCCCTTCCCAGGGCTGCGGCGGAGGCTGCTCCGGCTCCCAAACTTTCCGTCTCCGGGCAACGCACCCCCCAAACCGGCCGGGGACACCACCCCCCCCGCCTTTTCTCCCCAGGAGCGCGTCACTTCCGGGATCTGGCGTCACGCGTCACCGCGCCCCCGCGCCCCGCCCCCTTGCCCACCTAGCTGGGCGGGGCTCGGCCGGCGGGTACAGGTGGCTTTGGTCTGCTGGAAATGGACCTGGGTCTGCGGAGATAGGACTCCAGGGGCAAGAGGAAAGCGCCGTGTAGTTACCCGCTGTACAGAGGGAAGGGAACAAATGGGGCCCACCTGTATGCGCCTCCCGAAGTGCGCTCCTTCCCCAAAGGTTCTGGGAGCCCACAGGACAGGAAATACGGTAATTCACCCAGGAAGCGTAGAAACAAAGAGAGAAATATGGTAACGCGCACCTACATTTCCAAGCCCATTCTTTGAGCACGCATAAATTAAATATGTGGTGGATGTGGGAACCTAGTGATACAGAGGTGAATAAAATGCCCCGCTCCGTACCTCAATGAGGGAAGAGAGGAAAAATTTTAAATAAAAATATCTCCACTTCTTCATGGTCCCAATCTCTGAAACGGCTCGTTAAAGTGAAATATGCAAAGAAAAGACCTCCCATCCCAGTAGGATTTGCTTCCTCTTACTTTTGATGAGATTAACAAAACTGACATAAGAAGTCAGGCTTGTGAAACCGACCTCGATCTTGAGTACTGGTGAATTGGAAAACTCGCTTAATTGGGTAAAAACAATGTGTTTTTGCTACTAGAACTGTTCCTAGCTCGAAGTAGGCGCTCAACAGTTGTGGAGCGAATAAATGGATTGGATCAATTCTGTTCAAGCTATGACTTTTTTTTTTTTTAGGATGTTTAAGGAACCGAAGAGAAATGCTGGCGATTCACACAGGTCCACGGTCTCTACCCAATTGAAATGTACGAGGTTGAGCCCCTGCCTAAAAGTTTACCGGATAGCCGCATCCCACGACACGGGCGTACAACGGAATTGAGTTTTCTCCCGTCCCTAAAACTTTACTCTGAAGAAAGCGGATTAAGGAGTTAACTACGTTTTTAGGAAGGCAGAAAGGAGGGGGGGGAAGTCCTTCAGTAAACAACACAACTGTCCTTTACAAATGCTGATTTCCCAATGTGGAAGGAAAATCCACAAACTGAATTCTGTACCCTCAATCTACCCTCTCCAACCGCCACCAAATCAGACTTAAAACAGAGCCCTGAAGTCCTCTGCGCATGCTTCAAACTGTCCCCTCCGAGGAGCCGTAGGAGTGATGTTATCATTGCGCGACAACAGGAAGTAAGCTTGTGCGCTGCTGTATGCCTCTAGGTCGGGAGCTCCAGAGTCTGACAGGACTGCGATCTCTCCCCTCTTTTTCTTGCTGCTATGGATAATGCCTGCGAGTCGCCCACGGAAAAAGGTGGAGAGACAGGGGAGTCAGATGAAACGGCCGCTGCTCCCGGGGGTCCCGGCGCTACCGACACGGACGGAATCCCGGAGGAAACTGACGGGGACGGAGATGGGGACTTGAAAGAAGCCACGGCCGAAGAAGGCGAGGTAGGGAGAGAAGTGTTGATGAGGCCAGAGATTGTTAGTGCTTGCTGGACCGGCTTTCTGGTTGGTCCCTGCCAATCTAAGATAACTGGAACTCACCATGACTCCCTTTAGATCTGCGAAGGTGGGTGGGGAGAGGGAGGAGACAAAGCTATAATGCTGGTTCGGTTCTAGACATCCAGCCATTGGGTTAATACTTTTAATCCCTTAGATATCAAGGCTACTTCTAAGAGAATTTTTTTTAAGTAAAATCTACCCCCAAGGTGGGGCTTGAACTCACGACCGTGAAATCGGGAGCTGCATGTTCTACGCACGGAGCCACCCAGGCGCCCTTAAGGGACTTTGACATAGCCTCTTGGTTTTCCTGGTCAGGAAATTGGGATCTAATGTCACACTAAGACTTAGTGCAAGAGCTAGAACCCAGGATTCCTAGTACCCCTTTGACCGAAATATGGTTTCTCCTAGATGTTGCTCAAGCATAACTTTGTCATTATACACTGCAGAATCATTCAAGGAAGACTTTGAGGGAGTTACTGAATTAGCCATGTTTCTACCCTCTTCAGACATTTAACTACTACCAGTGATCTGGATGCTAATGTCCAAGGGTCTCTATAGCATAAATACACCAAACCCATCAGTTGTGCCACCCGAAGAGTTCAGCAGTGTTGCCTAACTGAGCATCAGTCGGGGGACCAGAATCTCAGTGTTCTCTCGGTTCCATTTCTAGAGATAGAATCTTGGAGTCTTAGAGTTTCTTAGGGACTTAAAGGGATCATGGGGGAGGACATTGGATTAAGTAGAAACAGCCTTTCAGTGCATTAAGTTGCATCAAAACATATAAAGTAAGAACTTTTAGAAAAAGAAAAATGTGATGAAACTATTTTAAGAAGGAACCTTTAAACAGATCTGAAGGACAGAGAAGATTTGAATAATCGGCTCAGTCCCATAAGGAGCTCACTACATGCAGAAATTTGCACCCAACAGAAGATAGTTTTTTTTTTTTTTATCTGAAACACTTTTTAAAAATTGATCATATAGGGGTGCCTGGGTGGCTCAGTTCGTTAAGCGGCTGCCTTCAGCTCAGGTCATGATCCCAGCGTCCTCGGATCGAGCCCCGCATCGGGCTCCCTGCTCAGCGGGCAGTCTGCTGCTCCCTGCCCCTGCTCTTGTGCTCCCACTTGCTCTCTCTCTCCCTCTCAAATAAAATCTTAAAAAAAAAAAAAAAGATTATATACCATACCACAAAGAAAAACACAAATTCTTAAAAGTAGAAATATCAAAACAGACCACATCCTGTTAGTACAGTGCAATAGACCTAAAAATTAACCAAAAAAAGCTTCTCCCCACCCCCACTCCTCCCAAAAAACTAGCATCTGGATATCTTAAACTATTTTTTAACTAGCCCTTAGATTAAAGAAATAAAGAGAACACTACATTAAATTCTGTGGCCTTTCAAAACCTTATTTAAAGAGAATTTCATAGCTTTATATATTTTTATTATTAACGAGATGCTGAAAATAAGCACCCAACTCAAGAAACCAGAAAAAAAACAGAACAGGGGCACCTGGGTGGCCCAGTCGGTTAAGCATCTGCCTTCAGCTGAGGTCATGATCCCGGGGTCCTGGATTCCAGCCCCACATCAGGCTCCCTGCTCAGCGGAGGGCCTGCTTCTTCCTCTCCCTCCCCTTGATTGTGCTCTCTCTCTCTCAAATAAATAAGTAAAATCTTTTTAAAAAATAAATAAATAAAAGAACAGAACAAACCAGAAATATTTGATGTTCAAGTTTAGGCCAAATAAATTTGAAAATGTAAGAAAAATGACTTATTTTTAGGGAAAATATAAATCACCAAAACTTAAGCACGGAGAGGTTAGAAAACTTGTATTAAATAGGTAACCAGAAAGAAATTGAAAAGTTTTTTAAAGGTATACTGCCTTCACTTTCACCTACGCCCCTCATATTCCTGTATGTGTTTATATGAGTTCCACTTTAGGGAAAACAGAGGTTAAATCCCATTAATGAGGTTTGCTGTGTCTTTTGATTTTTATTAAGGTAGAGGGGGTGAAGTTTGGATTTTGATTTTAATTGCTATTAAATAGACATTAAACATCTAGCATGACTAAACCTATGCCAAATGCTTATGTGGGGAGAGAGAAATAAGAGACAAACCTATCTTCAAAAAGTTTTCAGTCTAGCAATGAAAAATAAATATTTGCATGATACAGTAGAATTGAGAGACAGGAAGAAAAGAGCACTACACGTGGGAGAAGCTCACTTATAAGTTCCAAATCCAGGGCCGCATGGCTGGCTCAGTTGGTAGAACATGTGACTCTTGATCTCAGGGTCATGAGTTTGAGCCCCATGCTGGGGGTAGAGGTTACTTAAAAAAAAATGATTAAAAGTTCCAAATTCAAAGAAACACTGTTTTGATGAGAAGGTGCCTCCTTTTTAATATTCTTTCCAGATGGAATCATCAGCAGTAAAGAGATCTATAGATTTAGAGGCAGAAGAGCTGGCTGGATGGAGAGGACTTTTCTGACATCCCCTCTAAAGAATGAGGTCAGGAAAGTGGGCTCAAGGGGGGGAGTGGTTTTCATGATCCTTGGCATATCATTTCCTTTGTAAACATACTAGAGCTATGATCATAGCTAAACTGGAACACCGGATTATTTGGCTGGTTTTCCTTCCACAGCTGGGCTATAAACTTCTTTAGGAGAGTGTATCTTACACATAATGATGATACAGCCAGTGTTTGGAACCAAAAAACTGTTGAATAATGGGTTTGTTGTGTTGTAATAAGAATGAGGTCTTACCCAAGTCTGGAAAGTAGGCTACGTATATAATGGGGTTTCTTTCATCTTCTCAGCTCAAGAGTCAGGACATCTCAGATTTAACAGCAGTTGAAAGGGAAGACTCATCTTTACTTACTCCTGCAGCCAAAAAAATGAAAATAGATACCAAAGAAAAGAAAGAGAAGAAGCAAAAAGTGGATGAAGATGAGATTCAAAAGATGCAGTAAGTCACTTTCTGATTTTTTTCCCCATTTCAAGGCTCTAACTTGACCACACAAAGTTAATAAATTTTTTTGGTCTTTAAATTTTTTTCCTTTTTTATATTCGAAAGAAAATAAAGCAAATAATACCTTATGTTACATTTTAGAAAACATAAGTAAAAAGAAAAATATCATCTTACCACCAGAGATAAAAACTGTTAATATTTTGGTGTATAGTCTCCAAGATACTTTCTGTATACATATATATCTAGAAATAAATTTTTTCAAAAATGTTACTGTTTGTAACCTGTTTTTCACATTATAACGGTGAATGTTTTCCATGTTAATAATTATATATCTAGGTCCTAACCTTTTTTAAAATGGAAGTAGCTTGTGTTTTTTTCAGTTTGGGGTTTTTGTTGTTTTTTTTTTTTTTTTAAGATTTTATTTTTAAATAATCTCTACACCCAACATGGGGCTCAAACCCACAACCCCAAGATCAAGAGTCACATGCTCAACTGGACTGAGCCAGCCAGGCACCCCTCATGATGTTTTCCGATTGTAAAAGATGTATGGGCTCATGCAAATTATTCAGAAAATACAGAAAAATGGAAAAAAATAATTACCTCTAATCCCACCACCCAGAGTTAACCCTGGATATGTATTTGATTATATACTTCTTCAGATTTGGGGTTTTTTTGGGTTTGTTTTTTGTTGTTGTTTTCAGACTTTTTTTTTTAAGATTTTATTTATTTATTTGACAGAGAGAGACACAGTGAGAGAGGGAACACAAGCAGGGGGAGTGGAGGAGGGAGAAGCAGGCTTCCTGGCAAGCAGGGAGCCCGATGCAGGGCTCCATCCCAGGACCCTGGGACTGTGATCTGAGCCAAAGGCAGACGCTTAACGACTGAGCCACCCAGGCGCCCCTCAGACTTGTTTTTAATGTTTTATATGCATAGCCATATATTTTGTCAGTAGATATGCCCTTTAATCATCAGTTGCATTGGCTGCATTATATTCCATTATGCAGGTGAATAAATCAGTCAATCCCTGTAGTTCTTTTTTCTTTTGACAACATTATGATGAGTATCTTTCAGCACATCTTTGCATACTTGTCCATTTATTTCCTCAATAAACTCCTAGAAGTGAATTGCCAGTTCAAACAGTATGAATATTTTCAAAGGCTCTTCATACACATTTCCAAATGCTTCTCCAGAAAGGTTGTTCCACTTCACACTCTTCCAGCAGGTATGAGTTTTTGTCCTCCCATTCTTATTAGTACCATTCTTTATACTATTTGTCTGATTCATGAAAAATATTTATTTTAGTTTATCATTGTCATTTCTTTAGTTAATAATAGTTAATTTTTTCCTCTGTATTGGCCATTGGTATTTTTATAAATTCCCTGTTCATGTCCTTTGCTCATTTTCTAAATTAATATAGCCATCTTTTTATTTATTTGAAAGTATTAAGAGTATTAACCCTTTTCCATATATTTTACAAACATTTTCCCCCAAGTCGGTTAATGTTGAAAACTACTGGTTTGAATATAAATTTATGTATCAAATTTTTACCATCAATGTGTAGTAAAGTAGAGTTATGGGGAGAGAGAGCCACGTGCTGAAAACAATCTATACAATCTAGATAGTATAATATACTGTGACCCAACATTAAGTTTTTGTTCCTAATGAAGTAGAAAGGAAGTTGTGTTTCACTTTTTCTCAGGTTCTTTAAGAGTAGAAACGCTTTGGAGCACCTGGGTGGCTCAGTCTGTTGAGCGTTTGTCTGCCTTTGGCTCAGGTCGTGATCCCCGGGTTCTGGGATTGAGCCCCGCATCAGGTTCCCCGCTCTGCAGGAGGCCTGCTTCTCCCTCTGCCTGCCGTTCCCCCCGCTTATGTTCCTTTTCTGTCAAATAAATAAATTTTTAAAAAAAGAGTAAAAATGCTTTATCTTCATTCCTTTTAAGCACCAAACCTAATGCTATTGACCCCTCAAAAATTCATTTTCTAATTGTCTGAGACTTGCTTTTAATTGATGTGATAATATATCTTAAGCATTTGTTCTTGTAAGCTAACTTAATTACCTGAATCTTTGTCTAGAATCCTGGTTTCTTCTTTTTCGGAGGAGCAGCTGAACCGTTACGAAATGTATCGCCGGTCAGCTTTCCCTAAGGCAGCCATTAAAAGGGTAAGGATGGACTACCACACTTCATTTCCATCCGATGTGAGAGCTGAACTACACACAAGAGCTGTGTCCATTAGCATTTTGAGTAGGGTGTTAGTCAAGGTGATGGATCATTCATGCAGGAAAATAAAAATAACATGCCCCTCAATAATCAGTTGGAGTTTTGTATTCCAGGGATAGGGTCTCGACATATAGGTCACTATATACCTGAATCCTTGTTTTAATAGTCTTAATTTCAGCATCCAGCCTTTAGCAAACACTTTTTAAGGAAAAAAAAAACTCTTAAGGGTACCATTTTCCAAAGCCAGTTATTGACTCTATTAATCATGGTCTTTGTCCTTCTTTCAAGCTGATCCAGTCCATCACGGGCACCTCTGTGTCTCAGAATGTTGTTATTGCTATGTCTGGTATTTCCAAGGTTTTCGTCGGGGAGGTGGTAGAAGAAGGTGAGTATTATTAATACACATATGGGATTGAACCTTTGGGGGTCTTATTTTCAAGAGTATCTATAGTAAGGGACCTATTAAACACTTGTGGGAATTTGCATTTGCACTAGTAGTTGACGAAGTGGGGCACCTTGTATTCAGGAGAGCATGACCATTATTCCTCAGAAGTTTTAATACCCAGAGGCAGGGAAGAATCTGGGAAATCTTTCTGGATGCCTGTCCCCAGCCCAGGGTGACAGAAGCATACTTCGTATTTTTCTCCAATGGACTTTGCTCATTTCTGTTGCCCAATTAAAGACACAAGAAAAGCAATCTGGGGCCTGACCAGTGTGGTATGATGAGGAGTTGTTCCCGATGTTATAGACCCATGGGAGCTGCCCTCCATCCGTCAAGGAAAGAACCTGGCTGCTGTGTATTGCTAATTTCATCAGTGAAATGTTTTATTTTTTTAAGCAGAAGTTATGTTTTAAACTATCGCCTATGATAAAGCGTGATAGGATATACTAAAGCTAACGTGATGTGTTTTATAGCATTCTCTAAAGAAGGGAGTGTCATGGTTTCCTTAGCAAGCTTAAGAAGGGCTAATGAAAATTATAGGATTCAAATGGATTATGTAATATGAAGTTCTTGTGTGACAACGAAACTTTTCTTCTTGTCTTCTGTTTAGCACTGGATGTGTGTGAGAAGTGGGGAGAAATGCCACCACTCCAACCCAAACATATGAGGGAGGCTGTTCGGAGGTTAAAGTCCAAGGGGCAGATCCCCAACTCAAAGCACAAAAAAATCATCTTCTTCTAGACCAAAGCCTAGAAAGGCCTGGTACTGAAGGAAGAAGTGCTGGTTCCAGACCTGCTGCTGCATGAGACTTTTGCACTGGTGCTTTAGTATCTCAGTCCTCCAAGGATTCCATGATTTTCATGTCTTTCTCGGAACTCTTGATATTCATCGCATCTCAAAGGCATGCAGCCTGTTTCATACTTGCCTTGACTAAATATGGGGACCTCTGGGCATTTTGAGGCATTGAACTGTTTCTTGGCCAGTTTGAAGAAGGTACATGGGCCTTAAGCATCTTCTAGACAGGGAAGCTGCTTTCAGAGAGAAAACCTTCCCAGGAGAGCTTTGATGATTTCACACTGAAGCGTGAAGTTGCTATGACATAGGTTGTTTCTTCCATCTGGTTTTAAGTAGATGAAACAACCAGAAACTTTTGACTTGAGATACTCTACCATGAAAAACACAGTGATAGCAAGAGTAGTGGAAAAGTTTGTCCCTGTAAACATGTAAAGTTGTATGGATTTTGGTGAGTGATCATTAAACTGTTTTCCAACATGCCATATGTGTGTTCATTTTCTGTCTAGAATGGGGAGAAGTTCATCATTCTTCTCTGGTGTCAGAATAAAATTAGTCTTGGCTTTTTTTGAAAATTTGAACCCTTCCCATTTTCTATTAGAACCATTAAAATTTTATCTCATAAAAGAGTACTTAAACCACTTAAAAATAATGTAAAAGCCCATATATTTCAGGTTCCTATAAACAGATATACCACAACCAGTGTTTATAAGTTTGTTTTCAGGTGGTTCACAGAACCAGTACACTCAAGGTTTGATTAGATAATGCAACATTAAAATTTCCCAACACTGACCAGTATTCCAGTTCATCAGATACATTCTCATTGTTTTCCTCAAATAGAGGGGAACAGAGTGACCTTTTATTGACAGTGATTAGCAGTAATAAGGCTACTGTATATAATTGGCAATCCCCAATTCTTTCCTCTGTCATTCAGTGTCATAGGGAGAAGAGTTTTGAAGCTGTTCTCTTTTGAAGCTTTCCTGAGCATGTCTTAAAAGATGCCAGTTCTGTTTAGCACCCTGATGGAGGGGAAACAGCTTGGACTCACAAAGTTCAGCAAATCCGACTTTGAGTATCTTACATTAAAACCCATGGCTTTAAACATATATTTAGCTAGTGAAGAAGACACTTCAGTGGGACATTCCACAAAGAAATGTTGTAAGACTCAGGCTACATCTTAACCAGATAATAAACTGAGGCGGGGGCGGGGGGGGGGAAGGCAGATAGTCTCTCAGCTCTTAACAAATTTTTTTTAACAATTATAGGAACTACACTATTGCAATTTGAGATATTGGGTAAGGCTGAAACTTATAAGTAACAAGGAAGAAAGATCACATCACGAGTCTAGCCATTTAGCAAAGCCTCACAGTTGAAGGTTCTCCAAGAGTGTTTCTCCTTGTGTCTGCTGGGAGAGATAGGGAAAATGATCCCCACTCAACAATAGCTTCCATCCATACCTATCCAGAGGTGAATGGGAATATTCCTACTCTAGTAGAAGGCAGGAGAAGATCTAGGTGAGGGCTGTAGTCTCTGGAAGGATGGTACATCACACCAGCTTCTCTCGAAACGGTAATGACTACGGTAAATCACAAGGTCAGGACAGCTTTTCAGTTCTCAACCAAATTCTACTAGCAGTGCAGCAATGTTCGTTTGTTTGCACAGTTTTGTGATGTTACTGTAACTGATTTTAGAAGTTTAGGCAAGTATTAAATGAGAAAAAACTAACCCTTAGTGTAAAGGTTTAGAATGGCAGATTCCCATATCACTATGGCAATACTTGAAACGACCTGCTTTCCACTAACCCCCTGAACTAGGCTAAGGGGAAACTAATGTAAATGGGTTAAATGGAAGCATTTAAATTCTGGGGTATGTTGAGGGGTAGTGTTTATCCCTTGTATATTCCGTACACAGAAACTGTTCCTTTCAGTACTATGAAAGGGTACATCAAGTCTGAGGACCGTGGCAAAATAAGGGTCAGATTACAGAATACAGCAAAAGCAGCCATCACAAGAATAGAACCCATTCCTTTAGTCTTAAGTCAAAGAAATGAGGTTAATTATTCCAGTGAGTTGAAAAATCTGAGATCAATAACCATCCCTGCAGCTCAGCTAAGAGATATTTAAACTAGTCCATATGCACTAAAGCCTACCTCCAGTACATCCATGTAAACAGGAAATCTCAACAATCATAGATGAGACATAGTTGGAAATGCTTCACAGCTGAAATGGTGATGTACAGCAGCTGAGGTCTTTGAGGGATAGTGGTGCTATCACTCCAGACATTTTCTTGAGGTATTGTTATTTCTTGTTCACAGAGTCTTAGAGCTCCAAGGCAGAAATCATAAGCAGTCCAAAGTACTATTTTCCTTCCTTTTTTTTTTTCTTTACATTTATCCTGAGAACTACCAACCAGTTCACATTTCTTCATTATGCAAGTCTTTCCCCCAGCGAACAGGAGTATGAAGTTACACAAGATTGTTAACAAAAATTTCCTGGGACAATGACCCCTACACCACATTTTCTGCAGGAGGATTTCAAGACACAATAGCCAAGGATGCCACGTAGGAAAGTCAGAAATCCTAGGGCTCCATCTGTCACATGGACAAGAACTCCAGAGAGCCTAGAAACCTGACTGAACTCTGGCCATTAAAGGGGTTAGCCTGGATGTTTGCCAGATTTGCTTGTATCGCCGACCAGCAAGCACAAGCTTAAAGTGAAGGTATACCAAGCAATGCCCATTAGGCATTTTCTTTGCATGGAGGGATACCAGAGGGACATGGTGCAGGTGGGGGTAGGATGTGGGGGAGGAGGGGAGGGAAAAAGAATCAGAATGTGATTTTAAACCAATTCGAGTGAGTCTAAGTTTGAATAATTGTTTTCCGGCTACTGATCTCCCTCGGCAAGGCCTCCTCTAAGAACATTAGAAAGGCCTTACTTGAGAGGACGAGTGATCCATTTTGTTCAACACTATGCCTTCTGAAGGAGCACTAAGGGGGAGTGTGTGGAGGAACACAGTTACCATCTCAGTGTGTTTCACCAAATAGCCCTAGTTTTCCATAATTCCATTGGAAGGCCATTATACAAGGATTCCTCTTAAACCTTCACCACCCATACATAGCCTCTGTCAGCATCACTTCTCGGACAATGAGCTCTTTAAGTTTCTGATTTGCTAGAAGTGCTTTCTTGTACTTAAGGCGATGAGGTTGAGCCCCAGAGCTAGAGTATCAGGACTTGAGCATGTCCTTCCTCTTGACTGGATATCTGATCTCACACTACCCTCAGCTTTTATCTTTCCAGAGTTGGAGCTAACATTTTAAACTTGTGTCCTCATGTGGAAGTATCTCCACTCCCCGATAATTTTTGCTATTCTCTGGACCTTTCGTCCCTTCACCATATATTCTGTAAATAAGGTCACTAGAAGTGCACAGATAATGTAAGCCATTAAAGTGGTGTTCTATGAGGTCCTGTTTTCTGTGTTGTCTCCACGAGCCCTTCCTGATGGTGCAGTCGGGCTTCGAGCCAGAGTAGGCAGCACACTGACCCCTCCTTCCCCTCAGCAATGGTTAGGTTACTTTGCTGAGTTCTAGCAGAGCTTGCTGCCTTGCTGATTCTTCTATTACTTTACACTTCCCTAGACTGAACCTCACCTGTCATTTTCCTGTGTCATCACAGCCTGGCTTGTGGGCCTTCTGTGGTTTTGCCTTTTTTTTTTTTTTAAATCCCTTCTGGTTTACCTTTCACTGCCTGAAAGTAGTGACATTTGACTGCATTATAATTTCCTACTTCCAGGTAATTTATAAAAATCCTAAGTAAGGTTAAACCAAGCATCCACCCACCCATAGGAAACTTCCCCTGTTAGCATTATCTCCAAAAAGATGTTTATTCTTAAGTCTCTAAGTTGTTTCCTAAGCATGACAAAGTATTCCCGTATCTCATAGTAACTGGTGTTTTTAAAGTTGCTTTAAGTGAAGAACCTTGACAAAAGTTCTTTAGAAGTCTGAACAAATTATATCTTGTTTCTTGAATGCATGTTTCTTTTTATCCTCAAAAAAACTAGAATATGCAGGTCAGGCATGATTTCCCATAAAGGAAAACATTTATCTTTCCTCCAATATGTCATGTGTGATTAAGACTTCAGTGACACCAGTAAATCACTAATTTCACCATCTTGCCAATTCCAGGTGAGTTAGCGGATGAACTTCTGTCCAATCAACACAGCTTGAAGTATATTACAGAGCAGTATGGATGAAGGTAGAATGTTGAGGAAGAATTAGGTAGGAAAGAAAGAGGGGGAAAATCGTTCTTTCATGGGGCAAGGGGAAAAGCCTAGCTGGGTTGAAAGGTTTTTGTTTTGTTTTTTACTTAAGTCAAAATTATATGATTTTAAAAAGCCACAGTGATAGAGGAGTATGAGAGGCAACAAGTTGAGATGTTTACGTTACAGTTTAAAACACATTTTCAGCTCCCAAACCACCAAGTGCAAAGGAGAGTGCTGGAAGAAAGTCCCAGTGCTGGGAGAGCAGATGTGCCAGGAGCCCGGGGAGACAGAGGAATCAGTCCTGAAGCGCAGCTGTGGAAGGCAGGCAGGACTCCAGGCAGGCAACAGTGGGCTCAGCACTGGCTCCCCTAGTGATTCTTACCACATCATACCTTCAGCCTAGCTCAGTGAATATTGATTTAAATTTCAAATAATGTCATAGAAGGGAAAGATACAACTGAGCCACTACTGTTTACTTTCTACCACAGCATCACAATGATGAAAGTATAACAGAAAAGAACCTTAACCCTGAAAAATCTGATTGTAGTATCAGCCAAGATGGTATGAGCTTGGCTCCCTTTCCAAAAAAAGGCAGCATCCAGGTCTCCCTTACTCTTGTGCCTCTGCTGGCTCCCGCCTCGCTGACTATTTCCTGTTCCACTCTACTACCATGGCCAACGCTCAGGCCGAGGACTTTTCAGGTCTGCTACAGGAAGCTCTGGGACGTAGAATCTTTGGTGGCTCTGTGGGTGACTGAGGAGGTGGGTACTTTTGTTCGCACAGGTTGTAGAGAAAGCAAATGTCTCTTGCCATGAAACCAAGTGGTGAAATGGCCCTACAGTGTCGACAAGATTCCACCTAGTGTGCAGAGAGCCAAAAGGCTTTATATAGGCAAGACATGATGCTTGAGCCACACGCAAAGCTGCCCCCAATTTCCTAGAACGTGGCCGTGCTTTGCCCTGTCTTCCACACAAGTCAGAACAGCTGGTAGAAAGGACACCCCAACGAGTGGGCTGACCACTCCCCAGGCCCTCTGGCATCCTCAGCAGACTTCTTCAATGCTGGCTGGTGCCTTCTGTCACAGGTGGTGCTATTGCTGGTGATCTCCTCTCTCCTTGGTAAGATGGCTGAGCCACTGCTATCAGAGCTCAAAGAGGGGGTTATATTTCCTAATCTCCTGAAGCAGTCTTTCTTTCTCCTGGTTGGCATCGGCCAATGCTTGTTTAGTTTCTATAAGTTCCTTTTGTAGGGTACGCAATTCTTTCACCTGGGGAACAATAACAAATTTACAGTTAATAAATAACATGCCTTGCAAAACCATAAGGGAACAAGAACTCAGAATTCAAGCAGAAAAATCCACAAATTTGGTTATTGATCAAGAGAATACAACCAGATCTTTCTAAAAGCCTAATCAGGGCAACCTGGGTGGCTCAGTCATTAAGCGTCTGCCTTCGGCTCAGGTCATGATCCCAGGGTCTTGGGATCGAGCCACACATCGGGCTCCTTGCTCAGCGGGAAGCCTGCTTCTCCCTCTCCCACTCCCCCTACTTGTGTTCCTGTTCTCGCTGTGTCTCTGTCAAATAAATAAATAAAATCTTTAAAAAAATAAAAGCCTAATCCTGTCTTCAGAGTTCATCAGTTATAAGGACAGAAAAAGTAGAATTATGATCAGCAACCATTCACCTACAGTTCCTGAATTATATCCCCTAGTAAGCACTTATAGAAGTTGCTGCTAGGTGACAGGAGCCCAAACCACCCAGCTATACACAGTACAGACAAACTTTTCAGCCCTCTGAGTTTTACAAGCTTCTGTAATTACAGCCACTAAGGGTCTGTGGGAAAGGTACTGTTCAGTTAGGTCCTCACCTGCTGTCCAAAAGCTTCTTCTGTGGGCACCAGAAACATCTGTTCTTTGGGTGGCTGCCTCTTCTCACTTTTAGGTCCTTCAGCTGATGGTCTGTCTTGAGCAGCAGCTGGAAAAAAGTAAAGGTTCTAAATGACAAACTCCTGCCAACATGCAAACAATTCCTAGTTATCATCTATCCCTTTATAGGAGAAAAAAGGCAGAGAAGAGGGGCGCCTTGGTGGCTCAGTCGTTAAGCGTCTGCCTTCGGCTCAGGTCATGATCCCAGGGTCCCGGGATCGAGCCCCGCATCGGGCTCCCTGCTCAGCAGGAAGCCTGCTTCTCCCTCTCCCACTCCCATTGCTTGTGTTCCCTCTCTCGCTGTGTCTCTCTCTGTCAAATAAATAAATAAAATCTTTAAAAAAAAAGGGGGGGGGGCAGAGAAGCCAGGAGGCTGACAAGCCCAACTCACCGCCTATGTGGAACACACCATCGTCACCCCGCTTCAGCACAACATGCTCCATGGCCAGAGTGATGGGGATAGGGCCTGGAGATGTTGGATAGATGGGGGGGGTATCATCCTGCAGGAAAGAGGGAAACCACATGATGCCCCCAACCAGTTCAGAGCAATTCAGGTAACAACCCTTGCTTCTACCATTCAGCTTGAAGCAGTGTTATGCCATTATGTATCCATACGTTCCTGCAAGGCAGAGAAGCAGAACTGAGTCTCTCCTATCCCAGAGATGGTCAAACTGAGGACCAGAAAACCTAATGGGCTTATTTATACATAGTCATGTTGCATGCCAGAGACAAGGTCAGGGCTAGTGACAAGGTCTCCTCACCTAAATCTAGAACACTCTGATACAACACACATTTATGTATTACTACAACCTTCACTAAGAATGCTAATATGCATTTACTCACTTGGTCCTCACCACATTGGACCATGACAAGGGAAAAGTATACATAGCTATCACTGCCAAAATTCCTTGCCTGGCAAAGTCTAGGATAAAATCCCAAAGCTCCTCTCACCTTTAGGGTGATCCTAGAGTGCAGGAACTCAATCTGCATGGGAACTACCACTGGGATCTCCTCATCCTCCAAGAAGGGCCCCAGGCCATTGAGCACCGAAGTGAAGAGCTCAAGGTCACAGCCTCGAAGCAAGAAATGCAGGAAGCCATTTTGTGTGGCCAGTGGGGAATGAACAGCTGCACCAGGCCCCACCTCAAACCGAAGGCCCACAGATGGCCTGATGTGGTCATTCTTCAAAGCTGAGGATTCCTGAAAGCTTGTACCTTTGAGAAGAGAGACAGAAAGAAAACATTAATTAATTAACAGTCAGGGACTATTCTAAGCACTTTACATATATTTAATATTCATAACAACTCTATGCCAAAAGTATTATCATCATTCCCATTTTAGCGATGAAGGAACTAAGGCACAGAAAATAACTTGCCCAAAGTTCAATAGCTTGTAAGTAGCAAGGACAGGACTTGAATGCAGGCAACCATGACTGACTGCAAAGACTGGGCTTTTGCTATCATGCCTCTCAGGGTGGAAGGGAAGTCAAGGATCAATAAAAAGCTGGCCTTGCTATAAATCTGAGACACTGATGGGCTTGCTATAAATCTGAGACACCTTGGGCTAAAGGCCAAGGGAAAGCTCTTAAAACAAAGGACCCTCAACTCTGCTAAATTTGAACACCTCTTCTTTCTCCAAGTCTTGGTGTTCTCATTTCTGATAAAGCCACGCAGGATCCACGCTAATCTCCCCAAAACTCCATAAAGAACTATCACAGGTGTAGCCAAGGATATGAAAAAACTTACATAACTGCAAATTGGCACAAGTATTTTGGGAAAAAAACTGGCATTATCTAGCAAAGTTGAAGCTACACCTACCCTAATGCCCTGGAAATTATATCCTCAGGAATGTAATCCCAGAGAAACTCTCTTACATACCAGGAGATATGTACAAGAATGTTCAAGGCAGGTGCCTGGGTGGTTCAGTTGGGTAAGCGTCTGCCTTCAGCTTGGGTCATGATCCCAGGCTCCTGGGATCAAGTCCCGCATTGGGCTCCCTAATCGGCAGGAAGCCTGCTTCTCCCTCTCCCTCTGCTGCTCCCCCTCAACTCATGCTCTCTCTCTCTCTCTCAAATAAATAAATAAAATATTAAAAAAAAGAATGTTCAAGGCAATCCTATATGACATAGCAAAAAAAACCCAGAAACAACCCAAAAGTCTGTTAAGAATAGAGAAGTAAATAGATAATGGGTACAAGGGATATTTTAGGGGTGATGGTAATGGCTGCACAACTCTGTGAACTTGCTAGAATTTATCAAATTGTATACTTATGATAAGCAAATTTCATAAATGCAAATTATACCTCAATAAAGTTGTTTTTAAAAAGCAAAAACTAGTAATTATACAATAGATATGATATAGCAATGAAAATGAATCACGGCTAATTCAACAACCTAGAAGAATTTGAAGAATATCAAAGAAAGAAGCCAGTCATGAAAGAATACAGACTATAATCCCATTTAGAAAAACTCTAAAGCCTGCAAAACTAAATAATACACTGATAACAAACATGTAGAAGAGTTGTAAAGTAAAGCAACAGAATGAGAAACACAAAATTCAGGAGAGTGATTCTTTATGACAGGTGAGAGGCAGAGGAAGATTCAGGAGCGGGGCTCCTGGGGACTTCAAAGTTAATGGTACTATTCTGTTTATTAAACTAGGTGGTGGTGTACATGGGTTCACTGTATTTTTATTATTTTATACCTTACATATATTTTGTAAGTATTCCTAAGTATCTACTCAATATTTTAAAAAATATTTTTAAAATGAAGAATGCAGCATAAGCCCAGATTTTTCCTGTCATCATCTTTTTTTTTAAAGATTTTATTTATTTATTTGACAGAGAGAGAGATAGCGAGAGCAGGAACACAAGCAAGGGGAGTGGGAGAGGGAGAAGCAGGCTTCCCACTGAGCAGGGAGCTCGATGCGGGGCTCGATCCCAGGACCCTGGGATCATGACCTGAGCTGAAGGCAGACTCTTAACACTGAGCCACCCAGGCGGTCATCTTCTAAAGTACAAATATCAAAGGATTGAATATGAATGACAGAAGTTCCCTGATCATATATAGTTGGATGTCAGCAGCTACATAAATGAAGAAGTGGACAGCGGCCTCCTGTATAAGCTCAAGGAGCACCTGGGAAGTGAAGATGGTGAATAGCCTACTGAATGCAAAGCCCCAGAAAGAGCTCTGGGAGGTTCCCCTGCAAGAAGGCTTGACTGGAGTTCCTCCTCCTAATGGCTGCTGGAGAGAAGGACCAAGGGCTTGGCACTAGGACAGCTACCCTTGGGGCCCAGTGACAGGAGCAAGAAGCTAGGGCTGCCCCAGATAAATCCCAGCTCCCCTGGAACAGCCCCCATCCTCACCTGAGCACTGTCCGTGCAGGAACTGCCAGAGTCCCACGGTACCCAGCTGTTGGACACTCAGTTCCTCTGCCTGCAGGGCTACAGCCAGGTCCTCACCACGTACCTCGATCCCCAAAGATACCTCATTCACCTTCAGGACCAGAATGGAGACCTGTAAAAGGATACTTTCTTAGCTGAGTGCCTCGCAAGCTTCCAGCCTACAGCCTACCCTCTGCAGAGAAGAAAGGAGAGCAGCTGACCAGGTGAAGGCCGAGGTCTTCCCCAATGGGTGAGACCGAACTGTTGGCCTCTGGTGACCCCTGGCCGTAACTATCCACAACAGGGCTCGCCTGGACACCAGCACTGTCCAAGACATTTGGAAGAGTTCCTGGTGGAAGAGATTCTGGACCAGACTCTGCATAAGAAAGACAACAAATGAGTTTGAAAATCAAAAAGTTCTGTTCAAATCCAATCTCTAAAAACAATGACAACTGTGGAAAAAAAAAACAACACTTATGACACTTATGAGACAATTGGGAATTTGAAAACTGGATATTTGATGAATTTAAAGAATTGTTGATTTTTAAAAATGGGAGAGTGGTATTTGGTCACATTAAAAAAAAGTCTGTAAATGGATACAACCCAAGTGTCCACAGACAGATGAACGGATTAACAAAATGTGGTATAAACATACAATAGGGTATTAGCCTAAAAAAGAAGAAAATTCTGACACGTGCTATGAAGTGAATGAACCCTAAGGCCATTATGTTAAGTGAAACAAGCCAGTCATAAAAGGACAAATACTGGGGTGCCTGGGTGCTCGGTCGGTTAAGTGTCTGCCTTCAGCTCAGGTCATGATCTCAGGGTCCTGGGATGGAGCCCGCGTCAGGCTCCCTGCTCAGCGGGGAGCCTGCTTCTCCCCCTCCTCCCCACTCATGCTCTCTCTCGCTATCTCTGTCTCTCTCTCCGTCAAATAAATAAATAAAATCTTTAAAAAAAAAAAGGAGAAATACTGTATGATTCCATTTATATGAGGTACCCAGAATGGTCAAATTCAGAATACAAAGTGGAATGGTGGTTGCCAGGGGCTGGAAGAGAAGGGAATGAGGTACAGGTTTTGTCTTATGAGATGAAGAAAGTTCTGGAGATGGATAGTGGTGATGGTTGCACAATGAAACTTTTTTTTGTTAAAGATTTTTTATTTATTTGACAGAGAGAAACACAGTGAAAGAGGGAACACAAGCAGGGGGAGAGAGAGAGAGGGAGAAGGAGGCTTCCCATGGAGCAGGGAGCCCGATGCGGGGTTCGATCCCAGGACCCTGGGATCACGACCTGAGCCGAAGGCAGACGCTTAATGACTGAGTCACCCAGGTGCCCCTGCACAATACTTAATGCTCCTTTTACAGTTAATAATCCAATTACGGTTAAAAATGGTTAAGATTGTAAAGTTTATGTAATATATACTTTGCCACAATTTAAATTTTTTTCAAATATTTTTGAAGTTTATTTTCTAGAGATGCATAATAAAAATATTTATGGATAAAATGTTATGTTTGGAATTTGCTTCAAAATAACATGGGAGGAAAGGAAGTGAACAGAAGTATATATGAAATAAGAATGGCCATGAGTTCTTAATATTTGAAGCTAGGTAATGGGTACATGAGGGTTCATCATTTGATCCCATCTACTTTTATACATATTTGAATTTTTCCATAATATTCCATAATCATAACAAAGCAAACAGGGGTACATACCACCCAGCTTAAGAAACAGTACATTCTCTTTTTACTTTATTTTCGTTTAGACACTCTTAAGGGACCATTTAAAAGAGTCTCCGGTTCAATAAGATGAAAGAACCAGTGTAGCTTCCAGTGATGAATGATCTCATTCCTAATAGTTACTCATTTTATCATAGAAAAAGCTCCTATTTTCCAACAATAAAATATGTAGTTGCGGGGGGGGGGGGAACAACAAAAAACACCAGCCACCAAACTAATCCTCCTGCCACAGCCACATGGTTATAAGACCAGCACTCTCTCTTCTGGTCTGAGTCTCATTCTGTGATAAAGGTCAAGTGCTAACCAATAACCTAGAAGATGTGTAAATAAGCCAGAGCTACAAATCCACTAAAATTTCTCTTTTTTGGTTTTGGTTAAGAAAATATCTATTTTATCAAATCTCAGCTCCTTTTGTATCCTGCTGGTATACAGGCAGCAAAAAGAACCCTTTTTGGACTTCAGTTTCACCTGGCTGCTTCCACCTACCAGACTCCAAGAGCGTCACAAAGCTATCACTGCCATCACTGTCCACGGAAATCCGGTCTTCAGGGCCACTGTTATCCAATGAAACGCCATCAAATGACTGCTGAGATACTGTCCTCTTCATGGAGAAAAGTCGGAGTCGGGCAGCCCCGCCACTCAGTGGTGCTGCCACCCCCTCATCTATTTTGGCCATGGGTTCCCTGTTTAAGAGATAAAAACCGGGCGCCTGGGTGGCTCAGTTGGTTAAGCGACTGCCTTCAGCTCAGGTCATGATCCCGGAGTCCCGGGATCGAGTCCCACATCGGGCTCCCTGCTCAGCAGGGAGTCTGCTTCTCCCTCTGACCCTCTTCCCTCTCGTGCTCTCTCTCATTCTCTCTCTCAAATAAATAAATAAAAAATCTTAAAAAAAAAAAAAAAATTTGGTGACTCCCCATCATAATTAGAATGAAATCCAAACTTCTTTTCTTGGTTTTAAACCATTCAGAATGGGGGCACTCGGGTCATGATCCCGGGGTCCTGGCATTGAGCCCCGCATCGGGCTCCCTGCTCAGCAGGGAGTCTGCTTCTCCCTCTGACCCTCTCCCCTCTCATGCTCTGTCTCTCATTCTCTCTCTCTCAAATAAATAAATAAAATCTTTAAAAAAAAAAAAAAGATAAAAACCATGAGCGCCTGTGGGGCTCAGTCGGTTAGGTGCCTTCGGCTCAGGTCATGGTCCCGGGGTCCTGGGATGGAGCCCCGCATCGGACTCCTTGCTCTGCGGGGGGTCTGCTTCTCCCTCTGCCCCTCCCCCTGCTCATGTGTGCGCTCTCGCTCTTTCTCTCTCTCTTTACCGTGCATGCACAAAAATAAATTTAAAAATCTTAAAAAAAAAAAAACAACACACAAATGTGGCTTAGAAGATATGTTTTGTCCCTTGCAATGCCCATCCCTTTCAACCCAAACAGTTATTTATACATTAATTTTGATGTCAACTATTATCTGCTGTAAGGGGGTCACACCATTTTTCAACTGCTGGCCTTTCTGAATCTGGCATTTCAAACTGTGTAAGTAGCTCTGCCATAGCAACATGAAATATCAAGTTTGATCAAGGTCATCCCATATATAGACAAGACCAACTACCTACGGCCCCAGTGCAAATGAATGACACCTGAAGCCACCCACATACATTCCATAAGTATTTACTGAAAAACCTGTGCACATAAGGCACCACACGAATCACAGGGAGTGAATAAAATAACGCACAAGGCATCCTCTGTCCTCAACGAATGTATAAACTATCAGGAGAGAGGAGATTCAGATACAACCTACCATCGTATGGGAGTGAATCACACACACCATAAGAGAAGGACAGAGGTACAAGCCAAAGGCTAGGCAGTATCAAAGGGGGGAAAGGATGAGAAGAAGGGTATCAGGAATAGCTTTGTAGAAGGAGATGGCATTTGAGGGAGCGCCTGAAGGCTGTGAAAGAGACAGGGAAGGGGCATTCTATGGGGAAGAAACAGCATGAGCAAAGACATGGAGCACGGAGCTAGAAAACAAAAAGTACCTTTGGAGACAGTAGCTCAAACCAGCTAGAGCTTAGGTTTTGTTGGGAAGAGCTAATGGAAGATAAAGTGAAAAAGGCACAATACAGTGAAAAGAAACCTTTAAAGATCATTTAATCTTCCCATTTTATAAAAGAAGAAACTGACTCAAGGTCATAGTTAAAGATGGAATTAAGAAAAACCCAAGTCTCCTAACTCTTGCTAAGTGTTTATTTCCTCCTTTTTTACCACATGGGTTGCAGCCAGATTACAGAAAAACCTGGAGAAAAGATTATATGTGAAAGTGCTTTTAAAACTATAAAGTACAGGGGGGTATATGGGGAAATCTCTGTACCTTCTGCTCAATAATTCCTACGAACCTAAAACTATTCTAAAAAATAGTCTATTAAAAAACTGTAAAGTGAGGGGTGCCTGGGTCACTCAGTCTGTTAAGCGTCCAAGTCCTGGTCTCAGTTCAGGTCTTGATCTCAGGACCATGAGTTCAAGCCCCAGCATGGAACCTACTTAAAAAACAAAAAACACAAAGTGCCATATGGAATATATCACAAAAATTGATTATACCACGCTAATAAGTTCAAACTAAATTCAGGGGGTATAAGCGAAAAGCCTAAAAGTTTTAGAGTAGGGAAATAATAAGATCAGACCTGTGTTTTAGGCTCTTTCAAACACGCTAGTGAGGAAAAGACCTCCAATGAGGAAATCAATTAATAGTTTACTAAAATAGTCCACATGTAGGAACAGTCAGCAAAAAGGGATATGAGACTCCCTAAAGCAGTGTTCTCAAAGTGTCATCCTGGTAGGAGCATCAGCATCAACGGGGAGAGGGAAGGGGCTTAGAAATGCATGTTCTCAGGCCCTGTCTCAGACCTACTGGATGAGAAACTCTAAGGGTGGGGATCAGCAATCTGTTTTAAGAAGCCCTCCAGATGATTCTGAAGCAGGCTTTGGTCTGAGAACCCCTGCTCTAGGAATTACAGTCAGAATCTGACAAATGACTAGAAGAGGCAGGAGAATGATACTACTGAATAAAGAAAGAACTGGTCTAGGGAGGGATAGGGAATTTAGTTTTATGTATGTGAGGTTTGCCACACCCCTGGGAAATCCATGGGGAACTTACATGCAGTAGATGGTTTTTGATGAAGAGCAGGGGCGGGGAGAAAAGTCAGAACCGAAAATATAGACTACAGCAGAGGTAAGGAGATGAATAAAATAACCTTGAGAGAAAGTATACAAAAATGCACTGATATAAACCTTCCTGAAGTTTGGCAAATTCATCAAGAACCTTAAAAATGTTTGCAGCATTTGACCCAATAATAACCCACTTCGAGGTTTTCATTCTAAAGATTTAGATATGCATAAAGAGTAATGTTCACAAAAACAAGGGCATTTAACACAGCTTTGGTTCTGAGAAAAACCGGAAACACACTAAAGCCCCCCCTATAGTGGGATGAATGAATAAATTAGGATAAATCCATTTGCCAGAATACAATAGAGCAATTAAAAATTATGTATTCAGGTACCTCATGAATGGGAAATGATTCACAAACGAACATTAAGTGAATAAAACTGGAAATTTTCTTGATGATATAGAAATAATTCTATTATTGTAAAAATAGTATTCATGTATAGTGTATGTGTGTACACACCTATAAGCATTCACATGGGTACCCAAATACAAGTATAAAAATTGGAAGAAAACAGATCCAAATGTGAATGATGACTCTCTCTGCATTGTGTTGTCACAAGTGACTTTGTTTTCTTCTTTATTCTTCTTTTCCTACACTGTCAACAAAATGAACACAAATCATTTTTATAATTTAAAACATAAAGATTATGATAAAAGCGATCAGAACACGGACAGCCTAGTGCAGTGGAGCGGTTAGGTTTACAGGCCGGAAGGCAGAAGACAGCAGCCAAGGAAGAAGGAAAGACCCCTGCCGAGAAGTGCGGTGTGAGGGCTGCGCAGGGCTCTGAGCGTCCGGGACAACCGCAAGGCCGACACGAGGAGCCGAGGACAGAGGACTGAGAAGAGGCCACGGGACTGGGCCATCAGCAAGTCAAGGTTGGGGGTTGAAAAAAGGCCTATGTCACACACCTTTCTTCTCGCTTTAGCACCCCCTCTCCTCTTTTCCCATCTCCATTTAGAAAAAGCAGCACATTTGGTGACTGCAAGTCCAGGCTTTCAATCCTCACCCCACCACTCACGAGTTGTGTGATCCCGAGCAAGTTTCTTACCTCTCTGAACTCAGTTTCCTCACGTGTAAAATGGGGACTGATATTATTACCTGCCTTACAGGGTTGTTACAAGAATTCAATGGATTAATATTGTAAGCATTCAGGAGAGTGCCTGATACGTAGAAAGCACTCCGTAAGTGTTGCCTAGTATTATATCATTTCTCCCTTCAAGTTTTCCCTTCTCCTTCCTTCTAGGCTATCTGTGCCTAGCAAGTACTAACACTGGCATTGCTTAGAGACCCACTTAGACCCACAATCCACTTAGACAAAGCTCCAAAGCCACTGATCCTCAAACGATGGTCCCCAAACCACAAAGCATCCCAACAAAGATTTCCCATAGTCTTCATTATCATTCCTAAAACCACAAGGCACCAATGAAAAAATCCATACCTTTCCACTCTTCTGATTACGCATTTCTGTATTTTTCTGCTTACTCCCTACTGTATCTTCAGTGTCTGACACAGAGCCAGGCACAAAGTAGGGGCTCGAAAAATTTTTGTTCAATGAACATATGAAATTCTTCCTTCTCTATTACTCTGGCAGACATTGATAAGGTGTACCAGAAAGAGCAAATACAAAGCCCCAGCTTCTCTATTTACAAGATACAGGATCCATGGGCTCATCCTTTTTGAAACTTCAGTTCCCTCAGCTATAAACTGAGGATACGAATTTCTATTGCTATCTCATGGGGTTGCTGTGGGGATCAAATCAAACAAAATATTATGTGAAGGGCCACTAGAAAAAATAAAATATCATACAGATGCCAAGTATTATTATTATTATTTTTCTCATAGAGTATATCTGTATCAATAATAGTGAATCAGTGAAAGAGGAGGGAAGATCCTATGAAGCAGTAAATGTTGACTTGAAACTGCCCAAGAATAGGCTAAGCTACATGGAGGCATGTGCAAATCCAATTTCTGGTTCTTCCCCTACCACAGAATTAGATGTAGTCTTAAAAATAGGTCTCTCCAGTTGGTATACCTATATCCTCTAAGTAGCCTAAAAATTCTTCCACTGTCCTTCAGGCAGCACTGAAAATTAAAGGCTTTGGTACATTGAGAGGCCATTCTATGCCATCCCCTGGACTACACGGTGCTTCCCAATCTAACAGTACACACAGCAGGAGGCCTTAAGCCCAACGACCAGAGCTAGGAGGAGGAGACAGGATGAATGAAGAAGGCAGAGAGCCACTCACTTGGCTGGGGGCAGGGACAACATCTTGTGCATGGTGGAGGTCATTCGGTCTCTGCCCAGACTGAAGGCATCCTTAGTCAGAGACACAGCTTCCTTGGTGAGGTCCACAGTGGCATGCAGAGCCTCCTTTGTGGCATCCTTGGTCATGTGAATAGCACTTGACAATTCTCCCTCAATGTTCTTCAAGGGAATGATCTCAGCCTGTCCATTCACAGCGGTATCCCTGCCACCTGGGGGCTTCAACACAGCTGGTGAGGTGGACGCCTGGGTTCTGCTCAGTCTCTTGGCCTGTAAGAAATCCACTGCCTCATGGCCCTTCCCTACCTCCTGCTGCGCAAGAGGATCTGAATCCTGTAGTTCTCCATTACTATGGAGAGGCACTGGCCTATCCTGGGATGCATCCAGATTTTCAACGCCACTGTCCCCCAGAACCTTCTCAGGGCTTGCTGGGCCCTGCTCTGAGGAGGCATCAGACTTCAGCTCCCTATCCTCTGAAGGAGACAGCTCTGAATCGATGAGGCTGGTGGTATCTGAACCTGCAGAGTCAGCTTCAACAGCCGCTGGGGCAGGATGCATGAGCAGAGCCACCTCGGCGCTGGGGAAGAGGACCCCAATGCAAGCTGTCTGGTCCTGCAGAGGAGAGCCAGTCATGGCCTCTGTGTCCTTAGTCAGTTGTTCTTGAAGACCCTGTAGCACCTCCTTCAGGCGGAGCAGAGCCAAGTATTGGTAATGGTCAAGCCTCACGCAGACATGTGCAGGGGAGTGTACAAGCATGTGAACATCTGCTGCATCCTCAAGCTCAGTCAGAGGCCCTTTGCTGTCCACACTACTGCTGCCTTCTCTCAAAACATCCATGACTTCTGTAAGGCCTGACAGGCTTTTCAAATCATGCTCAGTCTTTGACCTCTGATGGGGCACAGCATCAGGGGCAAGGGCCTCAGAATGGACAGGACTGCCAAAGCTAGCGGACGGTTTCAGCCTCCCTTCTGTGGCCAAAAGGAGCTTCTGTGCCTGAGCCTGCTGCCAGCGGAGGGGTAGGCAGGCCCAAATGGACAAGGGGAAGGGGGCCACAAAATTCAAGGTATGGCCTTTGAAGTTCTCTGTTCCCTCAAAGTCCAAGGAGATCTGGGTGAAGTGGATGGACCACAGATCCTGGGAAGCCTTAAGCCTCTGGGGAGGGAGGGCACTGGGTTGAGGGAGGCGGGAATCCATCTGGAAAGCATGATGTAAAAAAAGCATGTGCAGAAGGCTAAAGCCACCTGGAACCTTGGGAAAGTGAACATAATTGGAATGAAAGAACTCAGCAGCCGCAAAACCTCGGAAGAGACTTTGGAGGTCTGGACAACTACAATGTGGGGCATGACGTGTATTGGTGGCAGTCACGCCCGACGCAGAAAAGATGAGGGCCTGAGGACGATGCAACCCAGCCTGCTCTCTCTTCTCCAGTGGGAAGCTAACCTTCAGAGAGAAAATGAAACCCAATTCAGAATGGACATCTGAGTAGCTCCACAACCTGCTATTAATACATGCGTAAAAGACCGAGCTGCAATACTGTTTTTCTTACTTCTATCAAAGGGACAGAGCAGAACCCTGGATTATAACCATGGGAGAAATGCAGCTAGGGCTGCCAATAGGGAACGAAAATTCCACTCTCCCCTACCTTCAACCAGAAGGCATCCAGTCGGATATCCAAGTGTTCATCTTTCTGGCTCGAATCTTCCAGCTTGTAGATAGCTTTGAACTGCTCCAAACTGCGGTATAAATCCAGGCAGAAGAGGTTTCCCCAGAGCAAGCTGACAGGATCCATAGTAAACGTCAGGCCATTTAACTGAATGTAGAGATTGGGACAGGGAACTGGAAAGCAGGAAAAAAAAAAGAATTGCCATGTACAGAGTAGCAAGTCGACTCCTACTTACCAGCTGATACTCATTTTATTACGAAGAAAGCAAAGGTGCGTATTTCTACACGGCAGAGTTTTTAACGAAGGTGTGCTAAACTAACTCAAACACCTAAAATTCCTAGAGACAAATGAGAATACAAGCCGTGGCCCCAAGGCTGGCAGATGTGAAGAGCATGAGCTAAACAGTAAGAAGTGAGCAGATCAGATGCTTACCTGGAAGCTCCTGATTATCGGGGAAGTAATACTCTGTGAACTCGATATGAATGGCAGAGACCTGAGTGGGAAGATTATGAAGCTTCCGACTGCAGGAAAGAAGTGTAGATGGCTTCTTACTTGGCTGTCCAGCCGTAGAAACCTACACAACCACACACAAGTTGCTGTTAGCACCTGTACAGCATCCAGAGTAGAATTTCCTCAATTTCCTCTGAGGTCATAGAAAGCCACTACCACCCTTGCAAAGTCTACCACAGGGAGCAGAGGGATTTTCACACGTATTGCAGGCATTCTCGCACCTGCTCCCACTATCTGCAAGTTCACTGCTCTCAGGCGAAGGTTGATACTGGGGTATCAGAGGGAACTGGGGGAGTCCCAGGTCCTGATCTCAGCAGCCATCCATGCTCAGACAGAAACAGACCAGTGTTATCAATCCACTCAGAAGTGAGGGAAGCAGCCCCTGAATTCCACAATCTTGTTCACACCTGTTGCCTTCCAAATGTACTGCTCCACCCCTTTCCAACCATATCTCCCTGCATCCTGGGCTTCTCACCTGGTGGATGTCCAAGTCATCCACCCGTATTACCAGGCAACTAGAGCGCAAGCGATTCCACGCTGGAGGCCGAAAGGCAGCCTGTCGGCCCTGAGAGGGGCTTCTCTCAATGGGGTTCTTTCGAGGACTGGAGAGAGAATCTAAATAAAAATAAGAAAGTAGGAAAGAGAATCAGGTACATTCAACTGTCATTACTAACAGAATTAGGAAAGTAAAAATCCTAAGATCACTAAGGCTATATATATGTAGAAAAGAGAGCTTAACACTGTCTAGCTCCTAGAAGGAATTCAAAAATTGTATTCTCCTTAAGACCAAGGCCACAGTCTCTGTTATAAAGGCGACAACAACCTCTCCTCAACACTAAAGCTAGTCCTAAAGACAACTAGGACTCTGTAAAGAAAAAAAGTCACTGATGTCTTTTCATGGGACGAGGTTGGGATAATTAGCTAGTCCAGGGCTTTACCTTCACTGGATATTCAAAAGTAAATAGCAAGAGGCTAAGCAACGGGAGTCCTCCAGCTCCTTGTAACCTACCTGCTTTCCTCCTGAAGGGAGAATCTACCCCCAGGTGCCAGGGTGGTTTGAGACCTGTCTCTTCATGCCACTTCTCCATTTTACTCTGAAATTCCATCACCAGCTTCTGGGCCCACTGGCCTCGTGTCTCCATGGCCTCACAGTGCCGTACCCAATGTTTGCAGCTGTCACCTATGCAACAAAGAAGCAAAAAGATTTCAGTCCAAGATCATGATCCAAAATTCTGATTTTTCCCTTCCGTTGGTATAGTCATAGTTCAGAATCTGATCCCTCACCCCAATCCAGATTTCTCTGGGTAAGTAAAAATTATCTAGTGAGAACACTCAAGTTCTTCTGGATTCCATATGTGATTTTTCCCTAAGGTTCCCTAAAAGGCCAGCTGCTGACTGTCACTATCTTTGACCATGGACTACTAGAAAGACTCTAAAACTAGTAGAAGTAAGGGGCAGAGCATAGAGTCAAAAGCAACATCTCAAGCACTGCCTCTCCTCCTACTTCTTCCCATCACTGATAAAGAATCATCAGTAGTAGACCCGACAAGTTTCTTGAAGAGGGCTATTCCCAACACTCCTCTGAGGTGCAATTTCTGGCACCCTCCTGCTGGGCAGTCAGGAATGAACCCAGGAATCTGTCCTCAATACACAGGTACCTGGGACGCACTAGAACTGCTGCCATTCAGAATTGTCCTACCTGCCCAGTGGAAGGGGTAATAGTCAAATGCCATCTTGCGGAAAGTAAGCTGCATCGCACCACCCATGAGTCTGTTTGCCGAGACACCTACAAAAGAAAAAGAAAGGTGAACAACAGCAGAAGAAACAAAGAAGCCTAAATACCACTTGAAGTACTTAAGTCCTCTGAGAGTCAGTTCCAAAGCCTGAGGGCACCTGGGTGGCTCAGTCCGTTAAGTGACCAACTCTTGATTTCAGCTTAGGTCATGATCTCCATCTGGGCTGTCAGATTGAGCCTCACGTCCAGCTCCGTGCTGGGTGTGGAGCCTGCTTAAGATTCTCTCTCTTTCTCTCTCCCCCACCCCAACCCCACCCCACTGCCTCCCCTCTCTCTCTACAAAAAAAAAAAGCCTGGTTGATACACAAGTGCAACTGAAAGGCCAGGATGTCAAGTGATTTGCAAGTCTGAGGCCCTCCTCTCTTGACTTATAGTGGTCAACGGACAACACCCAAAAAAGGTATATTGCATTATCTCTGTAAATGGCTGCCAGATTTCCAGAAAGGCAAAAGAAACTGTAAAACTCAGGATTCAGGAATTACAATCCTAGGTATCCCACCGACACATTCTAAAATCCTGATTGATTGGTTCCCCCAAACCCAACAATGCTAGGATTGCTGTTCCTCGGCCCAACACCTGGAGAGGCATAAGCCAAATTCTCCCCAAAACAGAACCCACATTATTCCCTTTCATAACCTGGCCTCAGAGCTAATTAGACAATCATTACATAAAATACATACACAGTACCATGGAACACCAAAACACTGCACTAACAAGGACATTGTAAAATACACATACAGGATATTGTAGGTAAACTGGAATTTTTAGCATCAAGTCGAACACTGTATTATGTTTATCTTGAATTTACATTTAATTCTTACTAAATGAATGAACCTTCCCTATTTCTTTTTTTTTTTTAAAGATTATATTTATTTGTCAGAGAGAGAGAGGGAGCACAAGCAGGGGGAGCGGCAGGCGGAGGGAGAAGCAGGCTCCCCATTGAGCAGGGAGCCCAATGCAGGACTCGATCCCAGGACCCTGGGATCATGACCTGAGCCGAAGGCAGATGCTTAATTGACTGAGCCACCCAGGCGCGCCTAACTTTCCCTATTTCTACCTTACCTCTTCAACTACATTCTAAGAATTGTTAGTAGAGTAGTTAGAATAGACACCTCTTCTCCTACATATGCATACTGTCTGACCTACCCTGTTCTACATTTCTATCTCTTATTAGGGTGAAGGGAAATACACAGGATCCTCTGGGCGTAAGCTGGTACATTTCCATCTAGTCTGGATTTCACCACCTCAAGTTCTGGACTAATCAGCAACCTACACTCATGTTCCTTCTTCTCAATCTTTTTGTTCATTATCACTACCTCTAAGGAGCTTATTTAGACATTTTTTTCATAATTGCCTCTTCATGAAATCTTCGTACCACGGATATCCTATGTATCTGCTTATGTACTATGTCTGTCTGTGCTTTATACATAAAAAGAATGAGTACAGGGGCGCCTGGGTGGCTCAGTTGGCTAAGCGTCTGCCTTCGGCTCAGATCATGATCCCAGGGTCCTGGGATCGAGCCCCACGTCGGGCTCCCTGCGCAGTGGGCAGTCTGCTTCTCCCTCTGCCTCTACCCCCCCACCCCGTGCTTGCTCTCACTCGCTCTATCTCAAATAAATAAATAAAATCTTTTTTTTGTAAAGATTTTATTTATTTTTTTGACAGAGAGAGACACAGCAAGAGAAGGAACACAAGCAGGGGGAGTGCGAGAGGGAGAAGCAGGCTTCCTGCAGAGCAGGGAGCCTGATGCGGGGCTCAATCCCAGGACCCTGGGATCATGACCTGAGCCAAAGGCAGACGCTTAACCGACTGAGCCACCCAGGTGCCCCAATAAATAAAATCTTAAAAAAAAAGGAAGTATAAAGTTTACTCCTTTTATTCAATGCAAGGTAACAAAAGACTAAATAATTCTTTTGAATTAAAAGTTAAATTTACCTCTGAAGCAAATAATACATTATATGTTAAAAAAAAAAAAAAGAAGAAGATGGCAGGAGAGGAAGAACGAAGGGGGGAAATCAGAGGGGGAGACGAACCATGAGAGACTATGGACTCTGAAAATCAAACTCAGGGTTCTAGAGGGGAGGAGGGTGGGAGGATGGGTTAGCCTGGTGATGGGTATTAAAGAGGGCATGTTCTGCGTGGAGCACTGAGTGTTATATGCAAACAATGAATCATGGAACACTACATCAAAAACTAATGATGTAATGTATGGTGATTAACATAACATAATAAAAAAAAGAAAAAAATTAAAAGTTAAATTTAAAAACTTAAAGCTATTAATATTTAACAACTTTATAAATATATTTGCTGAGTAACCTTTAATGAAACATTTCTTATATAAATTATAATGTATAAATTATATATGCAAATTAGCAATTTATAGAAATACACAACAGCAATATAACCAAATTTCAATTATTCAAAAGTATTTTTCAGCAAAAAATAGAAAATTTAAATAAATTTCTTAAAATTAATTTTAGTGAACTTTTTTTTTAAGGAAGCTTTATGCCCAATGTTGGGCTTGAACTCACTACCCTGAGATCAAGAGTCACATGCTCTACCGATGAGCCAGCCAGGCACCCCTCAGTAAACTTAACTTTTAACTTTTGCTTGATGAGAAAAAATCTTTTAGCTTATCTAGCTGCTAGGTATTCATTCAGACTGGGTCAATATTTTTTCTTTTCTGCATTTAATTATTTACTGAATAACTTGTAGAATTAAATAATAAAATATAAACTATTTTTTTTTTTTAAGATTTATTTATTTATTTATTTGACAGAGAGAGAATGAGATAGAGAGAGCATGCGGGAGGGTCAGAGGGAGAAGCAGACTCCCTGCTGAGCAGGGAGCCTGATGCGGGACTCGATCCCGGGACTCCAGGATCATCACCTGAGCCGAAGGCAGTTGCTTAACCAACTGAGCCACCCAGGCGCCCCAAAACTATTTTTATTTAATTCTTAAAGTTCAAATCACAAAAGCACTGAGGCTCAAATATAACAACACTGACAAGGTAGCCAAAGGCAGTCAGGAGGCATGTACAAGGTCCCTCCTACCGTATAACTTTGAGATTAAGCAATCAATTGGGAGAAAGTCCTCCAATCACAGCCATCTATTCACCATATTTTGTGTACCTTCCATAAACTCAATGTCAATGCTCCTCATGTGATACCCAAGAAAACCCAATGAAAGAAATTAAGTACCAAGGAGTAAAATTTTGTCGTGTAGGGTTAAGCTTTGGAAGGACACAAACTATTGTTACAGCTAAGATTGTTTTTTGCTCCCACACCTCACCAAAGCCAATTTTTTAATGTCCAGAATAGGCAAAACTCAAGACAGAAGGAAGATCAGTGGTTGCTTAGAGCTGCAAAATGGAAAGTGACAGCTAATGGGTACATGACTTGTTGTAGGGAGGGCAAAAATGTTCTAAAATTAGATTGCACAACCCCATGAATATACTAAAAAAACACTAAGTTGTATATTCTAAATGGGTGAATTGTATGGAATGTGAATTCGATCTCAGTAAAGCTGTTTAAAATGAAAGAGCCAATTTGCAACTGCTGTTGGGTGATACCATCCTAGTTAAAAATGCATGACTGAGGCTACTGGAGGTAGAGGGTTTCACAGCAATGCTCCCTCCATTGGAATTATTTAGATGTAAAAGAACAATAAACTACATAGACTAAGCATATTAAAATAGGGTCTAGAATTAAAATCAAAATCAAATAGAATTACCAATTACCAACCATATATTCAATATTAAATACCATATATTTAATTATACACACATAATCATATAAGAGACATAAATGGTAAATAGTGTCCATAAATGACTAATTAAAATTCTCCAGTGAGCTGCTGGGATGAGGACAGCATGGCCTTAAGAGTGATAAAGTTTTTGGCTCACAGGCCTCATTCTAAGGAAAAAGAGTTAAAAAGAGGCAGGTGACACTCTTCCCCATCAACCACTAACCTCTTCTCTGAAGGCTGGAATATACTCTGCTCCAATTTTATTTTAAGAGATAGTGCTGCCCCACCTCAAGCCAAGCTGTCCCCAAGGACCCACCCAGTTTCCAGTAATTTCACCTTCAATACCAAGGGAGAGGTAAGCATGTTACTCAAGGGCCCAACATCCCAGGCTATGGTGTCCCTTAACGAAAAAGCAGGTAGATCCCTTTCATGAAGATGGCGCCGAAAGCAAAGAAGGAAGCCCCTGCCTCTCCCAAAGCCGAAGCCAAAGCAAAGGTTTCAAAGGCCAAGAAAGTGGTGTTGAAAGGCGTCCAGTCACAAAAAAAAGAAGATCCACACGTCACCTAAATTCCGACAACCTAAGACACTGCATCTCCAAAGGCACCCTAAATATCCTCAAAAGAGCACCCCCAGGAGAAACAAGCTCAATCACTATGCCATCATCAAGTTCCCCCTGACCACTGAGTCAACCATGAAGAAAACAGAAGACAACAACACACTTGTGTTCATTGTGGATGTCAAGGCCAACAAGCACCAGATCAAACAGGCTGTGAAGAAGCTAGGACATTGACGTGGAGAAAGTCAACACCCTGATCAGGCCTGATAGAGAGAAGGGATGCGTTCAACTGGCTCCTGACTACGAGGCTTTGGATGTTGCCAACAAAACTGGAATCATCTAAACGGAGTCCAGCTAGCTAAATCTAAAATGTAAATGTAGCCTTTAAGGACCCTCTAGAGTCCAAAAGAACTTTCTGTGATGATGAAAATCTTTTATGGTCTGTAGATTGTACTGAGTACTTGAAATGTGACTGGTGCAAATGAGGAACTGAATTTTTTAGTTTTTTTAATTTTAACAGCCACATGTGGCTATTGGCTACCATACTGGACACACAGCTCTAGAGCAATGCTATCTATTAGAAATATCATGTGAGCCACATAAGTAATTTTAAATTTTCTAGTAGCCATATGAAAAAAAGTTTTTTAAAAAGGTGAAATTAATTTTAACAAGACATACTACTACTTAAATGAATATAATCAATATTTTATCAATTTCCACATACACGCTATATGAAAATAATTATCAAGGTATTCTACACTCTTGTTTTCTACTATATCTTCAAAATCCCATGCGTATATTATATTTGCAGCCCATCTCAATTTGGATCAGCCAACAGTAGTTATATGTGGCTGCATATTAGAACAACTCCAGAGAATCGTACAGCCCTTTCTGTACCACCTAGTTCTCCCTTTCCTTTTCTCCCCAAATCCCAGGAGAAGAGTCAAATTCACAAGAACTTGTTCTGTTCCTTGCTCCTTTACAGAGTCATACACTACACCTGGGTAAGGCAGGTTGGGAGTTATCCCTGTATCTAAAAATATCTCATCCAAAAATTCCCTAAATTCCAGATTTGTAGATTAATTTAATTTAATAAATAAATACATGAGGGCTGCAGAGGAGGCTAGTCATTCATATCTTAGTGTGGATTATGGGTCTTGGCCATATGAAGAGGACAGTGCTAAATACCCCTCATCAAGCAAGAGGATGAAACTCTCAATAATACACTCTTAAATAAAGACCTCTGAAAGGATTCAAGACAAAACAAGAGAAAAAACCCAAAGCCTTTAGAGTAACACTTGGAAGAAACAACCAAACAAAATAATAATCGTTTTAAGAAAGAACTTCCAAAATAAGTGGGTGGCAAACCAGTGAGCAATTTATTTCTTATGGTTGCAAAAGCAATCTTTACATTGTCACGGCTCCTTTTAGCTGTCTCAGAGCAGGAGTAGATGGGGGCTGAAGTCACTTCAACACCAAAGAACAGCAAAGCAAGAGAGACATTGCTGCTTGGAGCCCCAGGAAGAAAAGGTAAGTTCCCCTGAGGAAACAAGTCTAGATGTCATTAAGAGGCAGACATAACCTTCAGAAAGGATAAGGCAGCATGAGAAAAATCTACTATATGAGAGCATCTTAAGCCAAGAGGCGGTGCAAAGGGGACTATAAAGGAAATGTTGACAGGGTATTAAAGGAACAGGCAGCAGAGGGATAATAATACTGAGTATGTGCCTATAATTAAGGTCCTCCAGATTCAGTATATCATTTCAGTTGAGCATGATAACAACCAATGCGGTGAAGGAGTCATATATGATTTAACTCAAGTTCACAAATGAAGAAACTCAGAGAGCTTAAGCAAGAGGCTAAGTGATTTCCCCAAGGCTCAAGAAGGGAAAAAATGAGTAAATTCCTTTTTCATTTTGAATAAACATATATGTATATGTAATACTAACTGTCCTAATGAATGAAAAGCATAATGAGAATACAACATAACCTCTCTGCTTGGGAAGAGGGCATTTACACATAAAAAATATTTAAATTGACTCAAAAATCTGAAAATCCTGGAGTTTCCTATACTTGAATTTACTTTCCTAAAAGTTCTATCAGTGGTCAGCATTGCCCAAGATATGCTGGGGAGAAAAAAAGTATACTCCGCTTGAGCTCTGCCCCTGAAGATTCTGACTTAGGCCTGGGAGAGCGCTGGCCTCTGTATTTTACTAAGTATTGCTGGTGGTCCCGCTGCACCCTAAAGGCTAAAAGCACTACTTCCCACCAACAGAGCAAGAGACACCACTGGAGACTGAGGCCCAAGGAATGCCTGGGATTAAGGGAAGCCAGCCAAAGTACTCCACAGCATCTTGAAAAGAGCTGAAGGCACTGACAGACCACCCAGCCCAGGCTCAGGCCTAACAGAGTACCTGGCTCTCGGGACTGGCTATCATCGCAAATGTGCAGGTCCAGGCGGGAGATGAGCAGATGGTAGGAGGACTCCTTCACATCAAATCTCTCAAAGTACTGGCTGAGGCGACCGCTGCTGCTGCTGCCCTGGCCGCCCCCGAACGCCTGGGCCCAGGACTGCTGGGCACTGGGAGCAGGTGGGGTGATCTATACGTGACAGAGAGAAAAACAAGATGTCCAAACCAGAGAGGTTCCTCACAGGCTTTCTTAAGCTTTAGCTCAGTCTGAAGAAAGCCACAATTTAGCGAGATGCCCCCTCCCTCTCATAACTAACTGTTCACCTGGTAGCTCACTTTGGTCTGTCTCACCTAAATAACCCAAACTCTGAAAAGCCTAATTATAATTAGTCTTGTAACTCCAGTCAGAGTACTGTTCTGAGGTTTGAACTGCCCCCCAAGCTCTCACGCCCCAGGACTTAGCTGACAGCTAAAACACTGCCTCCAGGAAGTCTTTCATAAATGCCCTCTTTCAGTCTGTGTAGTTAGATGCCTCTTCTTTGTATTCTCATGGCATAGTGTCTACCTATATACAACACTTACCACCTCCTATTATAATAACTTGTTTATAGTCCATATTTAAAGACGGTCAGAGCTCCAACGACAGGAACAAGAGGCTTCTTTTACTTTTCCTTCCCAGTGGCTAGTACTATATAGCTAACACACCAGAGGCACCCAATGAAGAGAATAAATGAATAAATTAGAAGCACAAACAAAGCCTATGCAAATAACAAATGTCCCAAATAAGCCTAATGAAGTCCAGACCCCACCTATTTGGTCTGAATTAGGTCTGGCCCTCCATCTCCCTAGCCCCACCCAGGGTATCTGTTTTGCCTCTAACCTGTGCAGGCTCAGGGGCCAGGCTCTTTCTCTGCTGGGCTGACTTCTCCATTGCCTCACTCAGTGACTCTGCATACTTCATCATAGCCTTGAGCTGCGAGTCAGTTAGCACCCAGAGCAGGTCATCCAACAGGAACATCAGCTTGGAGGCTACCACATTGCAATCTTTGGTCTGAAGGGGCCACATAAAACATGGGGTTCAACATCTGGTATCATTCCAACTCCTCAACGTGACTATTGCTTGATTAATTTCAGAGAGGGCTTTCCAATACCCAGAACATGAAAGGAAAGCAGTAAACACTATGGAGAGTCAATTTCTTACAAAACTACTAATGTCTTCTGCGATTAACAAGAAACAACAGCAGTCAACGGCCAGGTGCCTATGTCAGTGTTCCTATATGGGTAAAAATTGTGGTTTCTAAAATTCAGGTGACAAGGAGGGGCAAATGTTCACAGAAATGTTCTGTGCAACACTGAATTACAGGCCTGCCCCTTTTGATTGTCATTCCTGGGGCCAGTAACATTCAAAAAACAGAGAACAACTCCCAGGCTGTCTAGGAGAATAAAAGATGGAAGTTTTCATGAGGGCAGAGAACATACTCACTCTTCTCTTGAGGGCTATTTGGATCCTGCCTTGGTTGGTAATAAGCCTCAGTGGAGTGGTGACTGGCTCCTGATCACCACTGTCTGTAGCATCTGCCTCAATTCGAAGTGTTTGCCAAGTTATTTCCTTAAATGTTAAAACCTAGAAGGAGACAAAGTAAAATCCCTTAATTCTATGGATGAAATTAACCAAGAGGCAGGAAGTCCAAGGAGAAAAGACGAGCAAAACAGAAATTCCCACCATTCTCAGTTGGGATCCTACCAATAGAATGCGGTGAATCAGAGATCCCTAAGAGAAGAAAGCATGTAGCAGTAACACTGGGATTCTTGGGTTCACAGGAATGGGGGACATATCTGAGGAAATTCCCAGAGCAGGAATAACATCCTTTAAAAATCAGTCCTATTTTGATCTCCCCATTCTCTCCTCTTACAATACTGGGGCTGTCACCTCTCCTCGGTGGGGGTCAGTGATGCGGGTGAGGCGGAGGTCACTCTGCTGCCAGTTGGGGTTGACGCTGTAGCCCTGGAGCTGCCACAATTCAAAAGAAGCGTGGAAAGCCTTGGAGTGAATCTTGATGGTGATGGAATTGACGATGATGAACATCCCCTCCACCACCTTCTCGGCAAAGCCATACTCACTACAACAAATGAGGCAGAGCAATGTTCAGAAGCAGGTGAGACTTTGTGCACACTCTTTATACTGGAAGACATCAGACAAGATTATTAACACTGTCTCTCTTTGGGTGCTAGAACTATGAATGATTTCTTTCTTTATTTCTCTCTTCCTATTTCTACTTACAGTTTTTAAATTTTGAAAATTTTTTATGATGCAGTACTCTTTTTAATTTGATTTTTTGAGGAATGAAATAAAAGAAAAAGAGTTGACCTAGAAATAATCTCCCTTCTGTTAGAAAGAATAAATTGAAAAATGTTTTTATAATCCACAAACTACCTAAATTTGAATGTTGTACATGAAGGAAGGTATAACTAAAGAAAGGAAATGCTAGGTTTCTATAAAATCTTCAAAGACACAGCATACTCTGCAAAGGTAGTGGAAAGAGGAAAGAAGTATAGCCAGGTGAGCAAGAGGTCAAGAACAATCCCAAATCTCTACCCTGTCAAATATATCCCAAAGAGCACAGCTGTCCTCCCACAGCGAGAGGCCAGAAATGGCAAGGAGAGAATTGAAGGCCATCTTAATGTCCTTCTGGATGTAGAAAACACATTCTTTTTTTTTTTTTTTAAAGATTTTTATTTATTTATTTAACAGAGATAGAGAGAGAGCACAAGTAGGCAGAGCGGCAGACAGAGGGAGAGGGAGAAGCAGGCTTCCCGCCAAGCAGGGAGCCCGATGCGGGGCTCGATCCCAGGACCCTGAGATATGACCTGAGCTGAAGGCAGCCGCTTAACCAACTGAGCCACCCAGGCGCCCTGAAAACACAGACATTCTTGACATGTAAATGAAATCAGTTCTCATTACAAGAGATAAAAAGGTGTGGAAATTATAAACTGGAAAAAAATATATTTGCAATTTATATCATAAAGGCCTAACATCTCTAATGTATAAAGAGCTTCAAGAAACTGAAAATAAGGGGCGCCTGGGTGGCTCAGTCATTAAGTGTCTGCCTTCGGCCCAGGTCATGATCCCAGGGTCCTGGGATCGAGCCCCGCATCGGGCTCCCTGCTCCATGGGAGACCTGCTTCTCCCTCTCCCACTCCCCCTGCTTGTGTTCCCTCTCTTGCTGTGTCTCTCTCTGTCAAATAAATAAATAAAATCTTAAAAAAAAAAAAAACTGGAATGAGAAAGACCTACAGGCCAATAAAAACGGGACAAAGTATGGACAGTTCACAGAGAACTGCAAATGATATTAAACATAAAAATGTTCAACCTCACTCATAAATCACAATTATACCAAGAGACACTTAACTTATAATATAAGTGACAGAGTAGTAGGGAAAAGATGGTCTTCCAGTAACGATGCATGGTCAATTTGAAGATATTGACAGAGCAAAAATAGTATTAGCTCCTATTTTACATCAAACAAAAAAAAATAATCAGTTTTAAGGCTGTATCTAAATGTGTAAGGTCAAACAATAAAACTGTTAGAAGAAAACAAAAGAGAATATCTTCATGCCTTAGGACAGGAAAAGAGCCCTTAAACAGGACTCAAAAAGGGCTAAGCATAAAGGGGGGAAAAAAAGTTATACTGGACTACATTAGAATTAATCATTTCTGTTCAACAAAAAAGCAACATTAAGAGTGATAGTGATGCTCAACATCACTCATCATCAGGGAAATGCAAATGAAAACCACAATGAGATATCACCTCACATCTGTCAAAATGGCTAGTATCAAAGCAACAAGAAACAAGTGTTGGCAAGGATGTGAAGAAAAGGAAACCTTTGTCCACTGTTGGTGGGAATGGCAATTTGGTGCAGTCACTGTGGAAAATAATATGGAGGTTCCTCAAAAAACTAAAAAGAAAAGTATCATACAATCCAGTAACTCTACTTCTAGGTATTTACTTGAGGAAAATGAAAACACTAATTCAAGAAGATATCTGCACCCCTGTTTATTACAGCATTATTTACAATAGTTAAGATATGGAAGCAACCCAATTGTCTATAAATAGATAAATGGATAAAGAAGATGTGCTACACACACACACACACACACACACACACACAATGGAATATTACTCAGCTATAAAAAAGAATGAAATCTTGCCATTTGTGACAACATGGGTGAACCTAGAAGGTATTATGCTAAATAAAACAAGTCAGACAAAGAAAGACAAATACCATATGATTTCACTTATATGTGGAATCTAAAACATAAAACAAATGAACAAACAAAACAAAAACAAATTCATAAATACAGAGAACAAACTGGTGGTTGCCAGAGGGGAGGGGTAGGAGGAGTGGGCAAAATAGGAGAAGTGATGAAGAGGTACATACTTCAAGTAATAAAATAAATCAGTCATGAGGATGAAAAGTACAGCATAGGGAACACAGTCAATAACACTGCAATAATACATGATAACTATACTTATCATTATGAGCACTACATAATGTGTAGAACTGTCACATCACTATATTGTACACCTGAAACCAATAAAACATTGTATATCAACTATACTTCAATTAAAAAGAAAAAAAAGGAAGCAACACCAGGGATGAGCAGGTACAGAGAAAAGGCCATGTGAGGAAATGCTCAGGAGTCAGCATCTGCAAGCCAAGGAGAGAGGCCTCAGGACCTGCTGATACCTTGATAATAGACTTCAAGCCCCCAGAACTATGAGAAAATAAATTTCAACTATTTAGGCACCCAGTCTATGGTATTATGTCATGGTAGTCATAGCAAACCAATACAAATGGATACAGAGTTCCAATTTCAGAAGACGAAAAAGCTTTAGAGATGTGTTGCAGGATGTGAGTTCAGTTAACACTACTGAACTGCACACTTAAAAATGGTTAAGATGGGGGCACCTGGGTGTCTCAGTTGGTTAAGTGTTTGCCTTCAGCTCAGGTCATGATCCCAGAATCCTGGGATCGAGCCCCGCATCAGGCTCCCTGCTCAGTGGGGAGTCGCTTCTCCCTCTCTCTGCTACTACCCCTGCTCATGCTCTCTCTGTCTCTCTCTAATAAATAAATAAAATCTTTTAAAAAATAAAAAGATGGAATCATACTGTATGATTCCAACTATATGACATTCTGGAAAAGGAAAAACAATGGAGACAGTGAAAAAAGACCAGTTGTTTCAGGGGTTGGGGGCAGGGATAGAGATAAATAAGTGGAGCACACAGAATTTTTAGGGCAGTGAAAATACACTGTGATGCCATAATGGTGGATATATGTCATTATACATTTGTCCCAACCCATAGAATGTACAAAACCAAGAGTGAACCTTAATGTGACCTACGGACTTTGGGTGATTGTGATGTGTCAATGTAGGTTTAACCACTGTAACAAATGTACTACACTGGTAGGGGATGTTGATAATGGAGAAGGCTATGCATGCGTGGGGGCAAGGGAATATGGGAAATCTGTGTACCTTCCTCTAACTTTATTGTGAACCTAAAACTGCAAAATTTGTCTTCAAAAAAAATGAACTTCTTGGGCGCCTGGGTGGCTCAGCTGGTTAAGCAACTGCCTTCGGCTCAGGTCATGATCCTGGAGTCCCTGGATCGAGTCCCGCATCAGGCTCCCTGCTCGGCAGGGAGTCTGCTTCTCCCTCTGACCCTCCCCCCTCTCATGTGCGCTCTCTCTCTCTCTCTCTCATTCTCTCTGTCTCAAATAAATAAATAAAATCTTTAAAAAAAAAAAAATGAACTTCTCTATATGTCAAATTGGTATCCCAACCATATAAAAAATGACTTCAAGTGACTTTAAAACACAGCATTTGACCATACTTCCTTAGTTGGATATAACATATGGTTAGAACGCGCAGAAATCTACTGTATTCAGTAATCTTACTGATAGTTATAATATTGGCTTTTTTTCAACAATTGAAAAAGTAAATCATTTATTATATTATTGTTGTTAGGAAACAAGCTTCAGCACATGAACAAAAAATACAAACATTAAATCTAAAAAGTTATTTTAAAACCCTCTTTTTTTATTTGAATTGAGAAACATCAGCATATTGTCATGATTTATTTTTCTCTTTCTTAAAAATACCTTTACCCTAAAACTGAACACTTAGGCCTCAATTCAAATGACAACTCAATGAATACAATTTTGCCCAGACTGTTCTCTCTAAATAACATTTCTCACTAAAAGGAATCAGGGTTCCTTGGAGAAATGTCAGATTCCAGGTCTGAAGTAAGGATGTATATGAGAAGCCTGAAACATCATATTCTGTCTAAAAGCAAAAAGATTATTGGGGTCTTCTCCAAAAGACACAGGAGGTGACTTAGAAAGGCTCTCACTAGCCAAAGATAAGGACATCTGAATATCAAAACAAATAATGATTATAAATGTATGAAATACAAACATTTTTTTAAGTAAATGGAAGTGTAGGATATAAGAAAATTTAAATGTAAAAACATGTAAAAAGAATCTAAAACAGTAAACCACTCTGGAAAAGTTTGGCAATTTCTTAAAAAGCTAAATCTTACCTACCATACCATCTGACCATTCCACTCCTAGGCATTTACCCAAGAGAAATAAAAGCACATGACCACACAAAAACTTGTACATGAATGTTCATAGCAGCATTATTCACAATAGCCAAAAACTGTAAATAAAGTGTCAATTCACAAGTGAATGGATAAGCAAATTGTGATCTATCCACACAATGGAATATTATTACTCAGTAATAAAAGAAATGAACTATTGATACACTCAACAACATGGATGAATCTCAAAATAATTATGCTGACTAAAAGAAGCCAGACAAAAACCAGTACATACTATATGATTCATTTATATAAAATTATAGAAAATGTAAACTAATCTATAGTCACAGAATGCCATGCTTGTCTGGGGATAGGAAGGGGTGAGAAAGGAAAGGGAAGGAATATAAAGGAGAACAACAATATGTTTAAGGGTTAATGGATATGTTCGTTGTCTTGATTGTGTTGATGATTTCGTGGTGTATGCATATGCTAAAACTTATCAAATTGTATACTTTGTATATGTAGTCTATTTTGTGTCAATTATACTTTAATAAAGTTGTTAAAAACAACATGAATTCAAAATGATAAACCTCCTTCATCCTCCCCTCACCCCCACAAAAAATCTTAGAGATTATTGCTAATCTATTATTGCTAATAAATGCAATAGGAAGAAAAGAATTATAAAATCCCTGTTTTGCAGCCTACAATGAAATAACAGATCTATACAACTATCATCAAATGGTTATCAACGGTCCTTACACCATGAGGTGAAATAGATAAGGAACTTAATCGCAACAGATAAATCAGACCATCATCATCTGAATCCACTGATTAATCTTAACCAAAGGAACATTTTGTCCCTCCTGATATGTTACAATAGGAAATACATGGTACAATTTCTAGAGCATTCTTACCAAGAAAACAAAAAACAAAAACATTTACTCAAATCAAGCCTTTAAATCTTACTATCAGTTTAAATGAGAAACATTTAAAATATAACCTTGAGGCCACAATCAGCCGAAATACAAACTGTGGGAAATTATTTAGAAAAAACAATCTAGTTTCTACAAAGAATAAATGGTTTATTAAAGACTGGGGGTGGGGGATTGTTTAGAATTAAAGAGCCTTGAAAGGCAAATCCCTAAATGTAATATGTGGAGCTCTTTGGAGCCACACTGCATTGGAAAAAATATTTTAGAGACAATTCAGGAAAATTGAATATGAAATAAGTATTAAATAATATTAACAAATTCCTATTAATTCTATTGATTGTGATAATAGTATTGTGTGTTTTTTCTTTCTTTCTTCACAATCCCTGTCTCTTAAAGACACAGTATCCAGAAGTATTTACAGATGGAATCATAGGGTGTCTGGGATTTGCTTTCAAATACTACAGTGTGCGCGCACACACACACAAACAGTGGCAGGAAAAAGGTGAAACTAGAATGGCAAAATGTTGATAGCTGTTGGAAGTTAGATCTTAGTTGCATGGGGGTTGATTACACTATTCTCTCCACTTTAGTGTAGGTTGGAAAATTCCCATAATAAAAAGTTTATTTTTCACTAAAAGTTGATATGGAACAGGTAACATGTTGGAAATAATAGGGACCTAAGGAACTAACCTTTGTCCTGAAGCGAGGGCAATGGGAGACTGTCCATTTGGGGGCCGAGGCTCCTCACATGTTTTCATCTCCACCTCTACCTTATCCAGACACTGAAATAAAAGCCACGGAGAGCTAAGCATCTGCACAAAAACCTACACAGCACACACTGAGTGTTATTCATCCCTATACTCTACTGCCTAGTTGAATGCTGTGCCTACAGAGAGCAGACGATAAATGTTTGTTGAATGAATGAACAAACTGAAATGCAAGAAGAGGCCTCATCTTCCCTCTTCCAGGTCCATTAGCAGCAGAACTCCAGGACAAGCATGGGATTAGCTCACAGCAGAAAACTAAAACATAAATCCAAGTTACAGAAGTATTACTATCCCTGGGGATTCCAATCTTTGGATAAAGACATGCACTGATGAGTTCCTGAAGGGCTTTCAGCTGATAATCACCCAATAGTCAACACGAACTAAATTTCTAATTTTTTCTCTGTCAGGATTCCAAAGGAAATCTAAAAGTAGAACCTGGGCAGCAAAATTTGTTATAAAAAACAAAAGGCAAAACAACCAACTCAGGACTCCTGTGTCTTGTGTCTCAGGGCTAACTGAGATTAGCACAGTAATTTCAGAATAAGCCCAGACAATAGTCACTCTGTCTCAGAGAGAAGCTCACAGGCCAGACAGAGCAATCACCACTCCCAAAAGGGATAGCCTGTCAGGACTCCTCCCCATTTCCTCTCAGATCTTTTAAAACCCCACCCCAACCATCCCCATTTGATTACTTGCAATCAAGAAAGGCCATTACCAAGCAAATGGGATGTGTCTTCAACTTTGTCCACTGGATCTGAAAGAGGAAAGCAACACTCAGGGCTGTGGGAGCTGCCCCTCAAGAAAGCATGCCTGCTGGCCAAGGAGCAACAGCACTCTGACCCCCATTCTCACCCGAATGGAGGCCCTGTTGCAGTAGACCCGAGTAATGGCTAACCAGGTGGGCAGCTCCAGCACATTCTGTAGAACCTCTTCATCCAGCTCCAGGTTGGTCAGCTGACCCTCCCCTTTCAGGGTGCTCAAATTGATTTTGTCCGGGGAAAGATTCTTGGTGAACCTGAAAAGAGTAAAGATAAGAAGCTATTATTTCCATGGAAATCCACAAAATGAGCATTATAGCCAACACTTTTCAATTTGGAGAAAAGAGAAAGTTAAAGAACCAATGTTGACTAATGACCACACTGTCTCTATGCCAAGTAAGATGTTAGGTCAGACCTACCGTTCTAGTCATGATTGCGTCACCTTTCTACTCAAGCACCTACGATGGGGATTCTGGAGAAATGGCTATCGAAGTGGCAACATAGCCTTTGGTATTTCTGAATCCCCACATTAAAACAGAGCAACTAGATAACACCACAAAAAGCCCACGGATAACATCCGTAACAAAACTCGATGATAAAGCATCCTCATAAACCCCCATATAGAGAAAAACATCAATGGCCAGAAGACACAAGTACTATAAGCAGCTGTGCAGATCAACATAAAGGGAAGCAATAGGGCATCTGACAGACCAGAGAACGGAAGAACCCCAAATAACCAAGTTTTAAATGAAAAGCAATGTGGGCCAATCGGATCGCAGACTGAAACTAGTGGGGTTGAGTCCACTGTAAGGGGTCCCCAGTGAGGCCTAAAGGACCTGGAGCAGTCTAGCCTTACAAACTCATGGAACTAACCAAGGCTCCTTCCTAGGACAGGGCACCAACGCTGAAAAGAAACTGCTGAGAGAGGAATCCAAATTGAACAAGATAGGGAAAACAGAAACAAAGAGATGGTACAAACAAAAGTGGGGGGGGGGCAGGGGACAGACCAGGATATCTCAGAAAGCAAGTTACATTTTTTAACACTACTTGAAACAGATGAGGGAGCTCTATGAAGTTAGAATGTGGAACAGTAACAGACTAATTGTTGGCTTGTTAAGTAGGGTCAAATGAAATCCCAGACCCTTACACATACCTTTACTCATGTGATCAAAGAACACCCCCCTCCCCACCTATAGTCCTGCCAAAGGGAATAAGCCTGAATCGCATCATGCTACTAGGTCCAGTTGCTAATTTGTAGGAAATACAGAGGACAGAGGGAAACTCCTGAACTGCACCATAAGCATGCAACCAGCAAAATACAGACCATGGGAAACTATATAGGTCAAGTGGCCTGGACATAATTCCCACAGGTCAGTCTTTGCACTGTTCCACACTTAGTGTCTCCAGCCTGCTCATGTGCTCTTGCCACCCCCTTTCCTGAAGCATCCTTTTTTTAAATTTTTTTATTTTTTAAATTTTTTTAATTTTTAATTTTTTAATTTTTTAAATTTTATTATGTTATGTTAGTCACCATACAATACACCATCAGTTTTTGATGTGGTGATCCACGATCCATTGTTTTTGTATAACACCCAGTGCTCCATGCAGTACGTGCCCTCCTTAATACCCATCACCGGGCTAACCCATCCCCTCTCCCCCCTCCCCTCTAAAACCCTGTTTGTTTCTCGGAGTCCATAGTCTCTCATGGTTCATCTCTCCCACCAATTCCTCCCCCCTCATTTTTCCCTTCCTTCTTCTAGTGTCCTCCATGCTATTCCTTATGTTCCACAAATAAGTGAAACCATATGATAATTGACTTTCTCTGCTTGACTTATTTCACTTAGCATAATCTATACCTTCAATGCCATCCCGATCAAAATTCCAATGACATTTTTCAAAGTGCTGGAACAAACAATCCTAAAATTTGTATGGAATCAGAAAAGACCCCGAATCACCAAGGAAATGTTGAAAAAGAAAAAGCTGGGGGCATCACGTTGCCTGATTTCAAGCTATATTACAAAGCTGTGATCACCAAGACAGCACGGTACTGGCACAAAAACAGACATACAGACCAATGGAACAGAATAGAGAACCCAGATATGGACTCTCAACTCTACGGTCAAATAATCTTTGACAAAGCAGGAAAAAACATGCAATGGAAAAAAGACAGTTTCCTGAAGCATCCTTACCACAATCTGCCATTCAAGGCCCAATGCAAGACTTCTCACTGAGGCTCTTTCCCTCACTGCTGCAACTCACATGAAACTTTTTTTCTTCTACATCTCTGGAATCTGTTACACACATTTAAGTCATAATGACAGAGGGTCGTGGAATATTTTCTAATTCTCTCCTATGTAACCACCCTACGTGATTAGATATGAAGCCCCGTGAGGTCAGGGGCTCAGTCTTAGCCATCCCTTCTAATCAAAATGGTCACCTGATACACCTACATACCTCTCAGCTAACTATCCTGCTGGCTACCTACTCCCAGCTCCCTTCTCCCAACTTTTTGGTTAGATCAATTTAAGGCCAGTTCCTCACAGCACATCCCTCTCTCCTGTATGACAAACTGTGTATGACAAATCTCATGCCTGTAATTCTCACTGTTGCTGCCTCTCAGAGTCACCATCTTCCACCCCAATAATGAATTGTATTTTGCCCTCCAACCATACCTATACTTAGCCCTTACATATATTAGATGCTAATAATTGACTTTAGAGTTACATATTATTTACCAACTTTTATTTTTTCACATATATCCTTTCCTATGACTAAGCTATATTTTAGTGGTTTGGTTTTCCTTGGACCGTAAGATCGTGATATGCAAGAGTTTTATCTTCACAGTTTTTTTCTACAGTGCCAAAAATGGTACTATGTAAAAAGGTTCTTTAACAATTTTTAAACGATAGTAAAAAAATTTTTAGAAGTTTATAAACATGCAAAAAAATACTGTATGATATTAGCGGATTCATAGGAATGCATTGGCATGATGACAAATCAGGAAACTGCTTACCTCTGAGACAAGGGGAAGGGTCCACAGGAAGCTGCAACTATATGAATAACACTTATTTGTCATGTTGGGAGGTGACTGTATGGCTATTCATTATATTACTCTCTAAACCTTTTTGTACAGCAAATATTTCATAATAATTCTAAGATCTCTATAAATTCCCTACTATAGGTACTTACTGTTGGGAGAGCTACTCCTCCATGGGTCTCTCATACTCCTACATGTCTTGCTGAGTATGACAAAAATGCATGACCCTGACCGCTCCTTACCCAGGCCACTTTTCAGGACTGTGTTTGAAAGATCAGCTTTGGGGGATGAAGTAATGCGCCCCACCCTAGGACATACAGCAGGCTTGCTTACCACTTACTATAAAAACAATGGATTCCCCAAGTTCAATGTTCCATTCCTATAACATATGTGCAAGCATCCATCTGGGCCCATTCGTGTCACTCCGATGGGACTTATGGGGGCAAAGGGAACTGATGCAAACATATGCTTATGCTACTTGCTGGACCATGAGTAATAAAGTCCTTGGTCTCTGATCCAGGAGTCTCTTGTGCTCTGTCAGCCTCCATGAACTACAGCAGGGTAATTATTAGCTTCTAAGCAGGGTAAAATAAAATCCTATACCCTTACACATACTTTTACTGACTTTAATTCATAAAAAAAATTTTTAATCAATATTTACTGGGTATGAGCCAATTTTATTCTCTGGACCCAAAAGACAAGCTTTCTACGATGGCTCCTATCCTCTGAAAACTAACTTGCTACAGAGGGAAAGAGAATTTCTCTTTTCCTTCAAGGAATGGCCATCTACAAGGAAATAGGACTGGGGTGTGAAATAGAAAAAAGAACATCTTACACACTTCCACTACATAAAACAACAACAATTGAAACTAAAGGAAGATATAGTACATGCCCCTTAGGAACCTGGAGGAAACACAATCCTGCAGGAAGGAAAGGAAGGCAGAAAACAGAACTCAACATTATTTGTAATCATTAGGTACAGGTAGGCTTTCTTTTTCAAGCCCCTTTTATATTTAAATAAGATATTACAATTATTTACTTCTAGCAACCTTTCCTCTACTCTTAAGTATTCAGGGAAGCCATATCAGCTCACAAATTGGGGTGAGGCATCCTTCAGAAGTATTAGTCTTAAAGATAAGAATTTTTGAAGATGTGTGGCGCCTAGGTGGCTCAGCCGTTAACCATCTGCCTTCAGCTCAGGTCATGATCCCAGGGTCCTGGGACTGAGACCTGCATCAGGCTCCCTGCTCCGCGGAAAGCCTGCTTCTCCTTCTCCCACTCCCCCTGCTTGTGTTCCCTCTCTCGCTGTGTCCCTCTCTGTCAAATAAATAAATAAATAAAATCTTTAAAAAAAAAGAATTTTTGAAGATGTAAAATTAGTTTTGAAGACTGTAACTGTATGTCTGTTCCTTTCCTCCCCACAAATTGTGATAAGACCCCACCTCCCTGCCTCAACTGGGAAACATGGTAAGTGCGAGTCACTGTCAGAGATGGGAGTAAGGACTCCTTTAACATGCAGGAGAGAAAAGGCTGAAAATCACAAAGACAAACTACTTTTCTTTATGATAAAAACCATTTTTAAGAAAAGAAAGTGATAGGGACTTTTTCAAGTATGGGGTTCCTCTCTGAAAAAAAAAAAGAGGAACATACTTTGAATGAAACATAAACACAAATCTCTTTCTATTTCAATGTATCATCCTCCATTCCCAGTATGCCTATTTCTATCCTTTCCACCCAGGTGTCTACAAATTGAAATCTGGACAAGTTTAAAACTGAATTAATGTTCCCCAGAAAGCCTTTCCATTATATCCCACTATAGCTCCAAGAACAGATTTTCATCCCTTGTCTCTCTAATGCTATAGAGAACTGAGGACAGGGAACAAAATTATCAATGAAGCTAGTCAAAATCAAGCTTGTAAAGGCAAGACCAACCAACTGAAAACAACAGGCCCATAGTTGGTAACCAGCAGAGTTCTATGAACTTTGTAACCATGCCATCTGGCACATGACAGCACTGACTTCTTCAGGGCAGTTCTGTGGAGAACCCTGTGCCCAATTTATCCTGATAGTAACCAGGCAGACTTATCTCAGAAATAAGTTCAAGTGTAAACACCAGCCAGCCAGGACAACAGACTAATCTCAGTGAGGATGCTCACCAGCCTCTTGGCATACTACAAAACCCAGGAGAACCTGTCTTCCTACCCCAAAGTGGATGAGATG